GCTATGAAAAAATTCCCTCCCCTCCCACCAAACAACATACACCTTCCAGGCACCACTGGGTCTCTGGAAAGATCAGTGGTGATGTTCTAAGCATCCCAAGAAATAAGAGAAGAGGCCACCCCCCCCAGGTTAAGGAAGAGGAGGGGTCAGGGTCCTGAGATTATGAAACACCAGCTCATCCACTCAAGGCCCCAAAGAACCACTGTCTTTCACTGAAGGAAAATGGGCAGAGACAGGGGTGCACCAGATCCTTAATCAGCTTTGATAAACAGAAGGGCATGCATGCTATTTCTCCTGTGGATCTAAAAGCATCTACAATCCATGCTTGGGGAAAGGTACTCTACAGAGCAGAAAGTGTCCTTACTACATCAGTGAGGAAAGAGGCCCAGAGAGGTGGTTCAGCTTGCTTAAGGAAATTATCCAACTCAAGCCTAAATGAAGGGAGCATCTGTTCTGGCTCCCTGACCCTGCTACTGTCAGGATCGGGAGAGAGGAGGTCCTCTCAAAGGTAAGACTAACTTGGCCACCTCTGCTCCCCACAGATAGGAGGAAGCCAGCTGAAGCAGGAAGCTGGTGGGGCAGCCCAAAGTGGGGTCGGGGCCCAGGTGGCAGACATGTAAATAGAGCTGTGATGGAGCCAAACCCCGCCTCTGGCCTGGGAGGTAAGGTAAGCTGAGCTAGGCCCTCACCAGACCTTGCCTGCCTCAATTCGGTGGGGCTCCTCCACCCCAGGAAGGTTGCACAAGTCCCAGATAGGCATTTAGCAGCCACGGGGTCCCCACCACCCTTGGCTCAGGGTTAAGGGGGTGGGTGGAGACAGGTGTGTGGGAGAAAGAGAAGGAAGGGGGTAGAGAGAATTCTGTCCTAGTCTGAGGCCAGGCTAGACTTGTTTGGGACTAAGCCTGCTGAGGCCAGAGCCCCGGGTCCCACTGTGTTCCCCTTACTATGTTTTAGCAGGTAGTGCCTATGGCTGGGTTTTTGGGTTTTGTTTTATTGTCATTCTTGTTTTGTTAGGCAGCTCCTTGGGCCTTGAGTCTCAAATATGATCCGAGTTCAAATTAGCCTTAGACACTCATTAGCTGCATGACCCTGGGCATGTCATTGAAACTCCATCTACCTCAGTTCCATCATCTGCAAAATGTGGATAATAACCGCACCTGTCTCAAAAGGTGGTCTTGAGGACAGAATGAATATGATTCCTAAAGTGCTCAGCAGAATGCCTGCCACATAGCAGGCACTTTAAATGTGTGTTCCCTTCCCTTTGGGAATGGCTAGTACCTAGTGTTCAACTGGTTCTGGCTTGTCCGGTTGGCAGCTACCCCTCCTCTCCCTACCCATACTCTGAAGTCATTTAGAAGAGGCCTTGGCTGGCAGACCACAAACCCGAGGGCTCAGGGAAAGATGGCCAAGGCGATTTAGGGGCTACTCCCAGCCTCTCCCCAGGGCCCTCAGGGGCTGCCTTCCGGAGCCCAGCTGACCCCTCCTCCATCCTGAAAGGCTATGGATTAGTGAAGGGTCACTTGGGGGGGGCAAGGGAAAGAGTCCTGAGCCCCTAATGGATGACAGTGGAGAGCAAGCGGACTCCAAGAACTCATGCTCAGCCAAGTCCCGTCATACACACAACTGAGTGAGAGCCAGCTTCACCCAGGGAAATGTGGCTAAGCACAAGAAGTTTTCCTACCCACAGACAAATAAAGCTTCTCTTTTCTTTAAAAATGAGAGGGCAGGAGACAGCCCTCACCTGCTACATTCCATTCCTATTTAGGAGAGTCACCATAGCCACTCTGGGCCTCAGTTTCCCCCTTCCCTTCCGGGCCCCAAGGCTGCCGAGCCTCCCAGAGCCACATAAAAGGGCTGGGTGCGTCTGCCTTCCTGTGCCACCTTTAAGTGGGAGGAAGAGGGGAAAGGTAGGTGGAGTCTGTGGGAACCTGAGAAACGGGAGCAGCTTGGCCTGACACTCACTTTGGACAGGCTCACTCAGGAGCCTGGAAGCCCAGGCCACTAGGCATCATTCTCTCTGGAAGCCCTTCCTTCTGCAAGAGGCATTTCTCAATCCCTCAAGGAATACTTCAAGACATCCAGCCTGGCTACCTACCTACCCCCAACCAGCCTTCCAGCAGGCTAACCCACTCTGCTGAAACAGGCTCAGCACTTGGGAGGAAGGGGAGAGAGAGAGACATGGAGAGAGAGAGAGAGACAGACAGACAGAGATGCCTAAACAAAAAGAATGAGCTAGTTCAGGGATTCTTAACCTGGGGTGCACAGCCCACCTAGATAGATCTCAGGAGGACCCAGAACTTGGATGGAAAAAAAATCAGACCTTTATTTTCATTAACTTCTAAAACTAAAATTTAGTATTTCCTTCAATTGTTCAAAAACATTACTCTGAGAAGGGGTCTATCGACTTCACGTTGGTCTTGGACACAAAAAAAAGGTTATTTCTGGTAGGGTCGTCCCTAGTCTACAAGTCTCCTTCTAGGCAGCACAGGTGGTCCCTGGATGCCAGGTGTCTGGCCACATCCTGGGATGGAAGGCTAGGAAGTCTCTGCTATGACCCAGATGAATCAGAGAGGGTCTGGGAGCCAGGGCGGCCCAAGGTCTTTAGGGCTTTTAACTGTGTCTGTGACCCAATCAGGTCACGCATGTGGCCGTTAACTGAACAGGTGCCTGTACAAGCACAGAGATGCTACCACCTGTAGTCCTACCTATCAGAGTGGTATAAGCGAGAGAGGGGACACAAAGCGCTCTGGACTAAGCCAGAAGTTGGCTCTTGTGCTGGCTTCCTTCTAAGCTGTGGACACTCACTGAAGGCAGCAGATGTGAACTGTCAGGCAGCTTCAGGGAAGTGTCCAGGGCTCTTAGGTCACCTCAGCTCCCTCAATGGGTGGGGACCAGGTGTCACTGGGTACAACAGAGTGGCCATGACGTGGCTCTGATACAGAATAAGGACACAGGTGCTTCCTGCAATGTGCCCTCCTGAGACGGGAGGGGCTGGGATCACAGAAAACTTAGCCAGTGGGAATCTATTATTACTATTACTATTATTATTATTATTATTACTATTATTATTAGGTAGGGGAGGCCCAGAAAGGGGAAAGAAGAATAAAAGTGACCCCAGTCCAGAGATGGCCTAAAATCGTTCTCTTTTACCTTTCCATACATGGGAGTGGGCAAAAGCCAAGGCCAGAGAACCAGACCCAGGACACAAGTTTGTCCAAATTCTTGGGGGGATTGGGACAGGAGGTAGGGGAGGACAGGAGGCAGGTCAAGGTGAGGTAAGGATGGGGTAGAGGAAGAAAGAAAAGAGAAGAGCCTGACTTCTCTGCCCTAAGCTAAAGCACTGTCAGAAGGCCATAACTGGCCTGCCCTCTCCCCGCCAAGTTTGAGAAGAGTACAATTTTTTCCCTGTGCCACTCAGGGAATCCTGTAGGGTCTGGTGGCAGGGATCTGTCCAATCCAATGGACAAAGAAAGTCTCATACTGTACCCTGTAGATACCCTACAGGCTCCTTTCCCAGGATCTTTGACTTTTGGCATCTGTCTCAGGTACTCTAGGAGCAATGCTGTATTAGAAAACTTTGTGAGATCATTTATGTCTGGGCCACAGGAACCCATGCATCAATGGCTGGCCGTCTCTAACCCTGACCCTGAGGTAGCAGAGAAGCCTCAGTTCTTGCTGGGGTCCCCCAGCTTGCACTCCAAGCCCCCAAAAGCAGCTTTTTCCTCCTCAGTGCCTGGATGTGAAGCTTCAGCAGACTAAGTGGGTTAATGTTAGGTAGGTTCTCTTCTCCCCACCCCTTCTGCTTTGGCAGACGTGACTGTATTTGGGGCTGAAGTCGCCTGGGGCCAGAGGCCTGACCCGGGTCAGGTGCTGGATGAATGGTGGCCATTGGTAAGGTGGACTGCCCAACTATCTCTCTCCAGAAGTTGAGTTGGAGAGGGTGGGGACCCTAGCATCACAGAGTTTCCTACTGATCTCCTGAGCACAGGGGAAGCCTGGCCCAGGTACAGAAGAGGTAAAGCTTAGTGAGCAGAACAGATGGAGCTGCCAAAGTCTGCCAAGTCCATGCCCACCCATCAGAGGTGGAAACCTGAGCTGGGCATTCCAAAGCCTAGGCCCAGAGCCAACTCTGGGTGTGGGGAAAGAATAGATAGAGATGGGGTTGCAGAGCAAAAAAGATGAAGAGCCCTGCCCGCTGGGCTGAAAGCCCTGAGATGCCAGCACACCAGGCTGTGGGCTGTACCTCCCCATGCCACGAAGGCCACACTGGAGAGCCCTGACTCACTCCCCAGGACTCCAAGCCAGCCAGACGCCTACAGAGAGCTGGATGGCCTGCTGGCCGGCCCCAGGGCAGCGATGCTGCTCAGCCAGTCAGGCATCTTGGGCATCAAGGGTGACTCGGTTCATCCCCACTACCTGGCCAACTTTGCTCTCAACTGGGCCGCTTGAGACCCAAGGAGAGAAATGAGAGGGCTATGAGAAGGGCCGTGGAAAGGAACATAATAAGGCAGCCAGAATGGAAGGACAGGCCCGTACTTTTCAAGCTTCTATCCCCAGCCCACACTGGCTCATCCCCATGCCCAGAAAAGGGAAGAAGGTGCAAAAGTACGAGAAGAAACACAGAAACAGTACAAATTCCAATACATATTCCCACGTTACACACCTGGAGACAGGGCCATGGAGAGTTAGGCTGAGGGCAAGGGGTGGGTGCAGGTAGCTGGCTGTGGATGGAAGAGCACAAGAAATGTGTGAGCCAGCTCTTAAGAGGAGGCCAGGGCCCCAAGGAGGCTGAAGGGCCTGGCGATTAAAGGCCTAGCTTAGGTGAAGCTGGGGGGTGGGCAGAATCTCAAACCCATGATGGAGGCCTCTTGCTATAGCAGCGAATAAGGAAAGCTCACCCCCTAGCAAACCCCTACGCTCAAGCTGGCCCTCAAAGCAGTGCCAGCAGAACTAAGCCCTGGGCTCAGCAAGGAGCAGGAACCCCCCAGCCCGACACTTACCGTGTAGGGGTTGTCATAGTAGACCCCAATGGAACTAAGGCGTGGAGAGATGCTGCAGCTCTCCGTGAATAACCGGCCCGACTCCTTGTAAGGGCCCACGTGGAACTTGTAGGCCAGTGTGATGTTCCGGATTGGGGGAGACCCCGCACTCACTACCACGTCTTCCAGCAGCCCAGAGTACACGGCAAAACCCAGCAGGGTCAGCAGAAGGGTCAGCACCAGGGCCGCAATCAGGCCCAGGAGTAGTAGCTCGGACATGGCTTCTGGGCCCTCCGCTCCCCAAGAGATGCTGTAGGAGAAGAAAGAGCCAAAGGGACGGTGAGTGAGGTGAGGGATGGCGGTGCCCTTCGCTCCAGCCTCCAGCCCAGGCAGATGTAGCCTCCCTCACTCTGTGGGAGCCACAGTCCTTGGGTCCCTCCACTGGAAGCTATGAGCCAAGAGGAGGGGGAGGGGCCAGGAATGTTTACTGCTGGCCAGATGACCTAGAAGGTAGCCACAAAGGATGACAGAAGCCACAAGCTTCTTTATTTCTTAATCACAATCACTGAGGCTCTGAAAGCAACCTGGCTCTGAAGGCCAGACTGTCATCACAACACCTTCAACCTGAATCATAAGGAGGGTAGTAGGATTGGCTTAAGGGAGAGGAAACTCCTGCCCTGAACAATGCTGGAACCCAGAGAGATTTCCCGCAGCCAGGCCAGGACAGCGGTCCAGCAAAAAGAAGACCTGGTATTCGGTCCTCAGCTCTGCCACTTCCTACCCATGGGACAATGGGCCTCCCCCTCCCCCATTCTCCATCTCTCTGAATCTCAGTTTCCCCCTCTGTAAAGAATGGGATGGGACCGGATGATCTCCAAGGACCCCATCAGCTCTAACAGTCTGTGACTCTCAAATCCACCCTCCCAAGTCCTTTGGTCAGTAACATTCAGGGCTGCTGCAGTCAGAAGAGGACCTGGAGAGGCGAGGCAAAGACCCAGATACCTATTAATAACAAGGATGCTGGGAGACACAAAACCCCAGAGAAAAATCTTTCTGAAGCTCTAATTATGATGCTAAGACTTTTCTTATCCAAAGCTCAACTTTCCAGCACTCTCAACTCTAAAAAATAGCCACAAACCAAGAAGACAGCAAAAAGGGTCTACTAAATAGCCTATTTCCTCTTTTACATATGGTTCAAACAAGCTTCATTATCTGGTTTTTGAGCCCACAATAAATTAGAAAGCAGGAAATCAGAAGGTGGCTACAGCAAACATACTGAGAGAAGTAATAGCTTGCCAGTGGAGGACACAGAAAAACAAAAATAGCTGATGAAGGACCATAAAAAGCCCAGTAAACTAAGCTAGCAAATTCAAGACAACTAGCTTCAGTCACCCCAAAGAGGCCTGGAAGGTGTGATACATTATCACAGTACAAAGCAAAAAATGATGTTACAATGACCTTAAGTAATCAATAAAAGTTAGGATTAAATACTAAACACACAGTTTAACAAACATTTACTGGGTGCCTATCGTGTGCAAGGAGGGTCCAGTGCCACAGGAATACAATGACTACACCTTCCTTACCCCAAGGAATTTAAAGTCTGGATGGGGAAACTGATTGTTTAAGATGAGGGCAGGGAACCTTCAGCCACATGTGGCCCTCTAGGTCCTCAACTTTGCCCCTCTGACTGAATCCAAACTTCACAGAACAGATCCTCTTACTAAAAGAATTTGTTCTGTAAAACTTGGACTCAGTCAAAAGGTCACACCCAAGGACCTAGAAGGCTGCATGTCACCTCAAGGCTGGCAGGTTCCCCACTCCTGGTTTAAGACAAAGGGGTCAAACCTGCCAGGCCCTTGCTGCTCATAACACTTCCTTCTTCCCTTCTCCTGAACCAGATTAATATGTAATTGTGGGAAACATCTGACACAATAAATGAAAATATAATAGATACATAATATTAATTATCTCACCATAATATATCATTATATTAACATATATTGATAATATATCATATATAACAACGTACCATTACTTAATGTTAATAAAATACATAGGTATTATTAATGTGTAGTTTTCTAAGTCAACATATAGCCTGCAGGAATCTTCACGCACAGTTTTGTGACGCTGTTTCTATGCCTTTGACACCACTGGTTTAAAATGAAAATAATTTGCTTTAGAAAGATAGTTAAAATTGTCCAAATTTTTAAAAATTTTGGTGCTGAAAGAGGTAAAACCGAAGCCATTTGGAAAACCTGACTACCAAAGTCTTATTTCTTGAGAATTTTAGAGGTTTCCTGGATAATTAAAGAGAGCAACATCGGAAAAAACACAGGCCTTGGATTGAAGAAGACTTGGGTTTTAGTCCCAGCTCTTCTAGTAAGAGTTGCTGCATGAATCACTACTATTCTGGGGCTCAATTTACTCATCCGTAAAACACAAATAAATACATTTGCTCTGCCTCCTAACACCCACTGGGTTGTGATCAGGGACGTGCCCTAACGTAGGGGTATTATGGGATTTAGAACTAAAAGGGAATTTGGAGATGACCTCATCCACACCCTTCATTTTTAGGAAATGAGGAAGGTCAGGCCCAGAGGTTTATCGGATCAACCAAAGTCCCAAAGGTAGCACAAAGGATTCAAAGCCCAGTCTTCTAGCTCCAAATCCAGGGCACTTTCTACCAGGCTTGGACAGCAGGAAAAATGATTACAACAGAAAACCAAACCCAACACATAAACCTAATTTGGTCTTAGAACACCACCATCTTAACTTCACACTATCACATTTCTCCATTCTTGTTCTCTCTCGATCCCCTCAGTTCAGCCCCTGCCCCTACTCTGGCTATGCCCATTACTTCTGATGCTGCCACAAGCCCTGGCTTCCAGAAAGCCCCCTAACCTCGGCAACCATTTTGCAAAACTTTAAAGAACTGTGTTTCTGAGGTCTCCCAAGCAGCTTCCTTTTACCTCCAAAGACCTCCCTTAGGCCACTCTCCGTCTCTAGGGGGTGGGGATGGGGGGTGGGGGGGTGGCTAACCCACAGTCATCACTGATTGGCTCCTCCCCACTTCAGGCCCCCTGAAGCCATTGGTTCCTTTTACCCCAATCTTGTTCTAGCCTCCCGGGCTCCCCTCCCCCCACCTCAAAGGCAGCCCTGCACTTCCCGCAGAATAAGAGTGTACCAGTCACTGGGGACATCAGGAAAGAGACAACTGGTTACCAAGAAAAAAATCCTTAATAGCTTTGTAGTTACTCACCGAAAAAATCAGCAAAAACTAATAGTTCATGGTCTCTGCCACCCAGCTGGGGTCAACACACACTTCCAGAACTGCAATGAGGACAACATAACGCATAGGGTTAAGCCACATCCCTGCAATCTGGGGGCCATTGAGTATAGGGGCAAACAGGCCCAAACACTTCCACTGAGTTAGTGTTTTGAAGCCATTCTTGCTACAGGATGGCTTCCCCCAACTATATGTGGCCTTCAAAGGGGTGGGAGGGAAATGGGGTACAATTCCATCAAAGAGACCTGATTCTGGAGTGGGAAAAGCAGGGTTAAAATCCCACCGCTGATGTCTGCTACCTGTGTGACCTTGGATAAATCGCTTACTAACTCTGGGCCTGAGTTTCCTCATCTGTAAGATGAAGCCCCTCCCAGTTTTTAATGCTGGAGCCCACAGAAGAACAGAAGGCAAAAATATCCTCAAACCCCTTCAACTCAACACCAGCTTAGGGGTGTTTTCTTGTTTTGTTTTTTTCCAATGATGTCTGGTGTTAAGAGGTCCCCTAAACTTGTCCTTTTGAGTTGCCAAAATCTCCTTTTTCTGGGATAGTTTCAATCACCCCACCAGTACCCTGAAACAAATGCCCCCTTCCCAGAAAGGGGTTTCCTCTGCTGTTCTTTTCCCCTGCTCTTACCAAAGAGGGAAGTGGCCCTGCTTCTGCCCAGACCCGACAAAACGCCAGGTCTGCACATCCGAGGCTCAGAGTTAATCACCCAGGCAGCGAGCTCAGATAATGCTGGGGCAACACTCAGGCTGAAAGCCGTCCATTCCTCCCCCTGGGTAGGCCTCCACCACGGGTTACTCCTCCCAAACAGATGTGTTAAATCCAGCCGGCTCTCGCTTCCTGGTTCCCCAGGATTCACGTGTGCTGTGACAACAGCAGGCAGAGAGGGGCGTTCCCAGCTCTTAAAGAGACCACAGGTCTCGTGGAAAACTTTAGAGCCAGGTTTGAGATGGAAGTTATTCTGTGTATCTGTCATGTGCTTTGGGTGAACAGGAGGTGGGCGGGCTTTGAAGGGCCAAGGAGGGGATAAGCACGTTGCATGCATTAAGGAGGAGCTCACTTCTGCCAGGCTGGGATTCCGTATTGCTGGCAAAGATTTTCCAGCTTCTTGCAAGGAGAGAGACAATTCTTGAGTCACCAGTGAGAGACCAGGAGTGGCAGGGAAAAAGGGAAGGAAAAGTGTACCAGGAACAGAAGAAACTCCAAAGACAGGAGAATCCAGGTGCCAGGCATGTCAGGAAGGTAGAGGGTCAGACCACACTGACCAACGCCCAGCCCCAGCACAGTGCCTTCAGAAAGGAGGAGACTCCATGAAACATTTGTTCACGAGCAGAAGGATGGCTAGTGTGAATCTCAGCAGGGTGACAGGAACCTCCATCTTGCCCTTTTTTCTGGGCCATACAGTCTCCCCCTTTTAATAGCTATTTACTCAATGCTTCTTTTATTTCTTAGATATCTTTCTTCCCCTCAGCTCTCCCCAGATAGTATCTCCATCAGTTCCAATATACCCCCTTAGGTTTGGAAGGAGCTATGGAAATGCATATTTCTATCTGAAAAGTTAATATGACACAGTTCTCACAGGGATAGGCTACTTCCCACCGTCACCCCCAAACATCCTTATTTTGGGGGAAGTTGAAAGGGCTGTCAAATACAGGATCCCAGAAATTCTGAAAGCAATCTGTGAGTTACAAAGCGATCACATTTTGCAAATGTGGAAGGGAGGGGTGAAAGGTCAGCATCCAGACAGACTTTAGTTGGGGTGTGGCTTATTAGACGGTAAGGGTATGGTTTATTAGATTGTGAGCTCCCTGAGGGCAGGGACTGTCCTCTTTTGCCTTTTTTTTTTTTTGGTATCCCCAGCGCTTAGCAAAGTGCTCGGCACAAAGTAGGCGCTTAATGTTTACTGACTGACTGGTTCGGGGGTGGGGAAGATGTGTAAAGGAAAACGAAGACCCAAGCCAGTCTCGGGCTCTAGGATACAAAAGCAGATCAATTCAATTCCATTAACCCGAGTTTGCCTTATGCAAACTCAAAAGGCTGGTCCCACTGGACCCCAGAAACTTAGAAACGCCCACGGGTTGAAAGGGATGTTTTTGCAGATGGGGAAGCCGACCAAGGGACGCAAAGCGACTCGTCCCAAAGTCACCAGCCCCTCTCCTTCACTCCGCCCCGCCCCCCCGTGGGGTACCTCTCCAGGCCACATCTTGGCCAGGAGGCCAAGTTCACAACCACGGGGGGGGGGTGTTATCCGAAGACCAGGGTTATCATCTGGGTGCCCAAAGTCTCGAAGTGGGACAAGGACAAGGGGGCTGCCTGTGCCCTTCCCAGGGATCTCCAGGCCTCCTGGGGGAGGGGGAAGGGAGGGTTCAGAGAGGGCGGGGTAGGATGGGGGCTCTTCTCCCCCCTTCACCTTAAGGGCTGTCAGAACGGGTTGGGGGGAGTTGTTGGGGTGGGGCCCGTCGAGTCCATACGGCCGGCCCATTCTGCAGCGGGGAAAACTGAGGCTCCGGGGCTTGCTCAGGGTGGCCCAAGAGAGTGGCGGGCTGGAAGCCAGGAGCCGGGACCGCCCGCTCGCTGCGCTGCACGAGGAAGGCCCAGCCCGGCGCCCCCGCCCCCGGCCCCCGGCCCGGCCCCTTCCCCCCCGCTCGCCCCCGCCTCACCTCGGCTCCCTCCCGGCCCCGCGGTCGCTCGGGGGTCGGCGCGGGCAGGTCCCGGGGCAGAGGCAGCCGGAGAGCCGTGCGCGCCCCCGGGGCTGGCGGGCGGGCGGGCGCGTGCCCGGGCCCGGCGCGAGCGCGCTGGGTGCCCGGCGAGGGGGGCGGTGCCGACAGCCGGGAAGCCGGGCGTGAGGAGGGGCTGTTGGTGGAACCGAAGGAGAGGCAAGGGAGGTCGTCATGGCAACAGCCCCCCCCCAGCCGCCAACCAAAGCCAGGCCCCGCCCCTCCCCGCCCAGCGAATAAGGTCGGGGTTATGGCCTCCAGGCGGCTAAGGCCTGGGGAGGAGGGGAGCCCTAGCAACAGACCCGGGGGCCCTAGAGAGGCCTGTGCCCACCTCTGTGCAGCACCTCCCTGAGCCACCAGGGAATGCGACGTGGAGGGGGGGACGAGGAAGACCCCTACCCCCTCCCATTGCCAGTGCTCCGGGGCCTCGGTCACTGCCCCTGCCTCCCAGGGATGCTTGATGAACTTGCTTGGCCTTCCAGGTATGGCTCAAAGGCCACCCTCCCTTGTGCCCCTAACGAGACAGGCTCTTTTCCCTCTCCTGGACTCCCATAGGGCTCTGCCCAACTTTTATTCCCTGCGGACCCACTGTGTGCAGTGCCTGGAGACCCAAATGACTGGGTTCCTGCTCTAAGGGATCTCACACTCTGGTTAGTAATCTCTGTAAGCATCGATGACCCCCTCTGCCTGGTATGGGTGCCCAACTGCCCTACTAGACTGATTGTCCTGTGGGTAAAGGCAAGGACTGAGGATAAAGGGATGACCTATTCAGGGGTGAATTGTTCTCTGCCAGGAGTTGATACCCTATTCTTGGACCTCACCTCTCTCTCTCCAGGATCCTGCCCTATACCCAGTTTTAGTAAAAAGCAGGCAAATAGGAGTGAGAGAAAAAAGGAGGAACCAGAGAAAGAATGAGAGAAGAAAGCAAGAGGAAGCCCTTCTAGAAAAGGAGAAAATAAAGGAAATGGGAAGGGACCCAACAGGTATCCAGAGAAGAGACTGAGAAACCAAGGTGAGGGCTTGGGGTGGGGGTGGGGGGAGAAGAAGGGTGTGTGTGGTGGTGATGGTGCAGGGAGGGATATTTCAGAGCTCCAAATTCAATTTATTAAGTATCAAATGCCTTCTCTGTACAGGTCTCTGTATCCAAAGCAATGTTCTGCTTCCCTCCTCTCTGCAAAGAGGGGCTTACCGTTTAACTCTTAGGTAATTTCCCTCAGCTCTTCTTTCTCTCTTGGTGGGAACAGGAAGGGCTTGGAAATGCCCTTCCCATCTTTTGTAGCTGAAACCACTTCGCTTCAGAAGGTTGCTAGCTGGTTGGTTAACTTTCCCTTCCCTTCTCTGCCAAGTTGCATTCTTTCCAGGACTGGAAGACAGAAGGATGGAGACTTGGAGACTTGCAGGCTGTTAGCCATCAGCAAGGCTCACCTAGAACTTCACAGAGTGGAGGCAGAGCCTTCCTTAGAGTATATCGAACAGGGAAGCAGCTGGTGGCAAAGGCAGTTGTGCTAGAAATGATTGACTCGTGACTCTGCCTGCCCCTATATGCAAGGCAAACCATGGGCCCCCATTCTCCTTCCACATGGTTTCCTTCATTTTTATTTTAACCTGATTTCACATACAGGGGGAAAAAAAATCCAACTGGTAAATTGGCAGGACTACGATCTACAGCCACCTCTGACCTTGAGTGGGAGCTTGTCCAGTATTTGATTTATAGATCTCAGATACGGAACTCTGAAATTCTGTTCCCTGGCCATTGGTTCCAGTCCTTTCAAACTTCTCTTACCTTGTTTTTCCCTAAATCTGGCTAACTCAGGTTCTCAGGGTCATAGGTTCAAGCCCCACCCTAGGCACGTTTAGCGCTTACAGACAGCAGGGTGGTTTAGTAAATAGAGCATGTTTTTAGGGTCAGGAAGAATGGACTCTGTATCCTGCATTATACATTTACTAGCTGTGTAACCCCTGGGCAGGTCCCTTAACCCCAGTTAGTGTCATCTGTAAAACAGGCATAATGTAGCACCTAGCTCACAGGTGGGGGTGACTGTGAGGATCAGATCAGATGATATTGGTAAAGTGGTTTGCACGCTTTAAAAGCACTAGCTATTCTTACAAACCAGCCCTTCTCTCCCTCCTTGTTTCTGTCTATTCTGTCCTTGCTTTTCCTCCTTTCAAAGAGTTAAACCCTTCAAGAAGGCACTCTCCTGTGGTCATCCCCCACTATATGCTTCCTCCGTTTCTACTGCAGAGTGGATGAATGCTGTTGGAAGAAGTCAAAAACTCATGCTGACTTTGGTCCATGACCAGTTCAACTGGACCCTTACTGCTGTGTCTTTTTGTTCATCTCTGACTGATCCCAGTCCTCAACAGCAGCTGCTGCTCGGCTTTCTTATTCCGGCAGATTACCTCTGACTTTACTGAGGTTCTCAAGACTCAGTCATTTCCCTTCCTTCGCACTTAGAAATCCTTTTCTTTACGTTCCTCCTCACCTCAATGGCTCATTTCAAGAGGATGAGATCCTCCCTCTCCCCTCTTCTTTTTTTTTTTTTGGCCAAGGCATACTTGAGCTATTGATCCTCTCTCATCTTCTGGAGCTTTCATCATTCTCTCTTCATTCTCCCCTTCTACTGGTTTCTTTCCTGCTGCCAACATTTTCTCCCTGAAGTTCTATAGTTTTCTTCTTTTGTTGCTCAGTACCTAGAAAAAGCAGTGTCTACACTAGCTGCCTCCACTTTCTCATCAGAACGCCTCAATTCCTTGTCATCTGGCTTCCTATTGGAAATGGCCTCTCAGAAGTCACAAAAGATTTATTAATTGCTCATTGCTTTTCTCAAACATCAGCTTCCTTGGCCAAATTTTGACATTATTGACCATCCCCTTTGTACCAGCCAAAGTGGACTAACTGGTTCCCAGACTCTACATGCCATCTTCCACTTGGATGACTTTCCAAATATCTTCCCTCTTCACTTTTGTCTTCAGTATCTTTGTTTTCCTTCTAAACTCAGCTGTCATTTCCTTCTTCATCTCCTATCTCCATTCCTCTTCCTTCTCATATTTCCCTAGAACATTTTGTGTGGATCCCTCCCTTGCCACCATTCCCTACTCTGAATCATACTCATCTGTGTACATGCCCTATTTCCCTTGTAGAATCTAAGAAACTGGAGGATTAAAAAAAATTGTTGTATCCTTCGTACCTAACACAGTAGGCACTTAATAAATGTCTACTGAATGAATGCATGAAGGAAGGAATAAGGGTTCCCTCTAGGAGCTGTTGAGAGGGTGGAAAGCAGCTGTGGGTTGGAAAGCCCTTCTTTGTGTCATCTGACCCCTGGGTCATTGGTTAGACCCTCTTAGGAAGGAGTTTTTGAGCTCAGTGCCCCTGCTTCCCCGGGGTCAGTAACATCTTCCAGAAAACATGGAGACCAGCTATCAGGGAGAGCAGCCCTTACTTAGGACAAGCCAAAGCTTTCTGCCTAGTCTGTAGAATGGGTAGACTCTTGTGGGTCTCCCCTTTCACAGATGAGTACTAAGAGGAGCCCAATCCAAAGTTCCCACTGGAACCTCTGTAGGCAGGGAGGTTGGGGGTGTGCTGATCAGCACAAGCTCAGGGATTCTATCTTCACTTTTTCCTGCTTATGGAGTGGTTCAGTCTTACCCAGTGGGAATACCATTTTTAAGCACTGGCCCTTGAAAACCACCAGAGGGCAGCCAGAGCCTTTCAAACTGAGTTTTCCAAATGCACCTCCACCTTGGCATCATCACTTGCTGCTACACCAAGCCTATGTAGAGACTCATAAGGCCCAGATTCCCCAGCCCAGCCCCAAGCTGGGGGATCAAGCAGAGAGGCAAAAACACTAAGTGAGCAGTCAGGAGCCCTTCTGGATCTCGGACAAGGGCTGCCCCACCTATAAAATGGGGGAGGGGTCTAGTCTTCATATTCCAGGAGCCCCTGCTCCCAAGCTGTCAGACTGAAGTCTTTTCTAAGGCCAGGAGCCCTTCTTGTGCCCTCGGCCTCTAGGATCCTTCCAAGTCCCCCACACCTCCTTAGCCATGGGAGGTGGTACTCACACACCTCTAAATTCACTCTGCTACACCTTCCCACCCCAGACTCCACTGCCTGATGCCAGGGATGTTTCCTTGGGGAGCTCTAGAGCAGCCGAGGCCCTCTCTGAAGCCAGGCACAGTGCTACCTTCTCCTGCTGTCTCACCTTCCAAGCCATTTAAGATACCAACGATGGGGATGGTGTCTGTCCAGACAAAAACGAGTCCAGAGAGCTGCCTCTTTTTTTTTATTTTAAGTTTTATTTTACAAAAAGAGAGAAAGAAAACCGATAGGCAGTTATACTGACGTACAATTGTTCTGTTTGCTTTTTTAAAAAAAGTGACATGAAACACAAGTAAAAATAAATACGTCATAGAAACGACCAGTTGTCCAGTCTCTGGGACAGGAGACATCCTGCCTTACAGAGAGAAGAGGGAAGCACATGATCATTCGTGCGGGCCAGCCGGCCCTGCTACAGAATCTCTTCTTTTCAATCCCCAAAGGCGGACCCCAGACTCAGATGGCATCCAAAGGAAAAGAAAACTGAAAACCAAAGCCAGGTACTGGGTCCCAAGTGCCTCCCCATCCCTATCAGCAGTGTGGCTTTAGTGGTTGTCCAGTACAACTCTCCTCTCTACCTCCCTTGAACCTGGTCCACTGATCAATCCTACCCCACCCACCCTCAGTAGATGGTGCTCATCAATTCAAGTTATAGGAAAAAAAGTCAGTTGGGGGTGGAGGGGCGGTTCCTCTAATGTCTCCCTACCCCCCACCTCCCACCCCATGCTGTTCTTACCCTCCTAAGTGCAGTTTAATGAACACATACATATTGGAAACAACCTCCCAAGGTCAGGCTATGCTCTTGCAGCTACTAATGAGTCCTAGGTTATGTCACAGTATGAGGTCCTTAGCAATATACTTTTACCCTCAAAACACCATCCTTATAGAAGGACACAGGAAAGAAAACATGTCACTTCAACTGCTTGCTATAAAGGCCCTTAAAGATCTGCCCCTTCCTAAACTGACACGTTAAATTACAGGACCTCTTTAAAAAAAAAAGGCAGATGTACACAAAGGCACTGGGCCAAGGCCAGTGGATACTGTGTTCTCTTGTAGCTGAGTGCCCTCATTTTGGTTTGAGGGTTCATGGTGGGTAGGGAAGTTCCAATCTGCTTGGCCAAGAATTTAGTAGTTTTAAGACTCAGTTGTCCCTATGGTCTAGGACAGAGTAATGAAATGGGGCAGGCACATCCAGCACTACCACCTGAGGCAGAAAGAGCTGAGAGAGCTGGAGGAGAAAGATGAAGGGCGATCTTCCAAAAGAACCCCCTTGGACCTAGGTCCAGGGCCAAAGCCTCGGGTCTGCACCAGGGGCAGATCACAGCCAAGTCAGAGAGCTTTCCCTCCGATCTCTGAAGAGACTCGCTTGGGTCAGACACCTGTTTTCAGGGTGTTTCACACTGGTGACTGAGAGGGGTCAGTTGTCTTGGTGGGTGTGACTTTGCATGAGAAGGGAAGGCTATGCACACCAAAGGGAGAAGCTGAGTGTTATCAATCACTACGAGAAATTGGTAGGGTATAGGGAGGTCATAGCCATGAGAGGTGAGGAATGGGTTCTTCTCTTAGATGAAGAGAGGAATGTCATGTACATATTGGACATTCAGTTAAAAGACACAAGATGCCTCATGCTCAAATAGTGCATCTTACATTGGATATAAACAGGATCAAACAAGAGAACATGGGCTCTTGGCAATGACCGAAAGGCCCTATTCTGCTAATGTTACTTTTAGGGTAAGATCTAGTAAAGATTCCCACCAAGAGAAATTGCTAGTTTGGTTTACTTTTTCAACCAGGCAGCAAAAATGGACTTTTAAAACGGCTAGTGTCTCCTTGATCCATGCTCCTGGATGAGGGAGATTTTAGGAGATAATGGATGTGGGTATGAATTAGGGGTGTGCAGAAATCACCTTGAATTTTTAGCTAGAAAGTGGTGTCCGCTGGGGAGTCGTCTCTGGCTTGGATGTTACTGGAATCAGTACTCCTGTGTTGAAGGAGCACAGAAGCCAAGTTAAGTCAGTCTCAGATGTATATTTGTATTAGATGGAACTGCTCTGGGACACAGTTTATTCCTTTTCCAACTTATACATGAACCATAAATGTTGGTAACATCTGCACCAATTTAAGACCACAAAGACATTTAAAAAAATGGAAGAGTGTAGTTCAAATCCAAAGTTAGTTTCACTACAGCTGTTCTTGTATCATAATTGTACTGTGCCCTTATGACTAAGAGCAAAATCTATAAGCAGCAAATCTACAATAAAACAGATGTATATGGTTTAAAAGGCTTAAAAAAAAAAAACCCCAACCCACAGATGTCATCAGCCCAAGAATTACCTTGGATACACTACCCTCCTCCTCATTCCATCTTTACCATACATAATCTGGATAGTGAAAGCCACTCCCATTTGCCCCTCCCTTAGTGAAGGCAGGCAAGAATAGGATTTTCACAGCCTCCATGACACCATCTGCTTCCCTCACGTACATAAACCACACAAACGTGTGTACACAAATATACATGACAGACATACACAGAAAGGCAGCAGTAAAGACAGGGTTTTGTTTTTCTAAAATTCATTTATAAAACCCTCAGAAACTCAGATCCCCCAACCATCACACTTTCCCACAAAATCTACAACTGCAATTATCAAAGAAGGCCTTCTTCAGCAAGACCAGCCTCCCAAAGCTTTGGCCTTCAGAGATGGAGCAGGAGTATGTGACTGTGAGAAGTAACCCCTGGTACCACATGTGAAAGAAGGCAGATAAATGCCCTCATTACAGCCAACCCTGTGAAACCCTCCATGACGTGGCAAACACTAAGGGGTCTTCCACCATTCACCAGCATCAGAGTGCTATCTGTACTATCCTGCAGAGGGATCTGTGATCCTGGTCCCTGGGCCAGTTCCACCTCACTAGCCTGCCCACCAACTCTAGTGACAAAGTGATGATACAATCAGTGTCAGTGGACATGCAAAGAGGCAACAGGAAAGACACAATCTCCCTCCTCCCAACATATAACTCAAGACCCTTCCTGTTACTGGGTCTTTGGAGCCACCAGCACAGATCAGGTAGTGAATGAACCCAGTGGGTCCAGATTAGTTCCCTTCTTCTGTGCCAGTTTAAACCTGAGCCTGCTCCAGTGGAGCCCCTTTACTGTCAACTCATGGGAAGTGTCTGAAAGAGAAAACACTGGTTTGAACTGCTATTCTTAAATTAATCAAAAATAATTTGCATAGCTAAACTGTAGATCTAAGGCTTCTATGAGTAGCAGAGTTAGGTATGTCTGACAGAATGCCTATGAAAACAGAGAGAAAGCAAGCTCTAAGGTTCCACTTTTGGCATTTTTAGACAACAGTACGTACATGTGCACTCGTACATGTGCACACACCCCTATCATCCATCTTCTCTTTGTCCCCTTTCTTGGGAATAACTCAGCATACCTAGTCCTCTGAACAATGGAAACAGTGTTTGGACAGAAAATTCACAAGAGATCTTACTCCTAGGGTCAATCTGGTCACGCTGTCCTCACAGGGCTGGGAAGAAACAGTAATGGCCCACTCAAAGAACTTGCTGCAACCTCCCAGCCTGAGGAGACGTGGTCATCAGCTACAGCTGTCACCCTGCGAAAGCTTGTCAGGCAAAGGCTTTTTGTCTGGATCATCCTCACCTCAGCCAGTTTACAAAACCCTAGTAACTCAAAAACCCAATGCCAGTCCTAAAGTTTATACTTATCCTAGACACTGTCATCAGGAAAAGGCGGAGCCCAGAATGACCAATTTGCTTCTAAAAATGGAAGTCAAACCCAGGATTCAGATGAGGGAAGGAATGGTGATAACACAACTCCTTGCACTGGAAAACAGCCAAATTCAACACCTTCGTCACAGGATGTACTTTAGAAGTTGGGAATATTCCTTATCCTGAAACTAAGCTGATGTCCCCCTCCTTCCAAATCTGCTGTCAACAGCGGACAAGCTCTGAAGAATTGAAAGGGCAGCCAGCGCTCCAAAGCCATAAGCCCATTACAGGAATGGAGTACACGGGAGGCCCCAGACCAGGACAGTTGTTTCCTACCTTCTCACTTTGCAGCCAGTTGCATGGCCTCCGCACTAATCCTAGGAAATCACCACCTAGAAATGCATTGGTCCTAACTACAGTCTACACTTTGGTCAAATCCTCTACCTTCCATCCAAGACTGATTCCCTGTCCATATAATATTTCTCACAGACAACCCAGGGTCAAGGAGACCTTAAAATTCCCCATCCCCATTTGCTTCCTATCTCCCACCCCTTTCCCTCCCAACTCCCTCCCCCTAACATAAATGAAAAAAGAAATGAAAACCCCCGATAATAAATAATTGCCTTCATGAAATAAATTAACATGGAGATTTCTAATGGAGGAGGGAACAAAGACATACCACTAGGCCAGGTAGTTGGGGATTTAGTCTTATAAACTCTTAAGAATTCCCACTGATCCCACCACCGAGAAGCTCTCCACACATGGCAGTGAATCTTCCCCTCCCCACCACCCACCCCCTCACAGGATACACACACAGCTTCCCTTCAAGAGGAAAAGCAAGAGCTGCCCAGAGACACAGACATGGCAAGGAGAAACAACCTGGCAATGTATAATCTTTGTATTTTTCTTCAAATCCTAAAGCAAATGCAGCACTGAGAATCTGCATGTCAAGACAGTGGGTCAACCAGGTCTTCTCAGTCACCCCATATCTAGGTGGAATTGTGAAAAGGCAACTCTCCCAACCCTGAGCTGAGTCTCTTCTGTTTACTCACTGTTCAAGCTGGAAAGAAGCCACTACATTTCTATTTCAATTAAGAAAGGAAAATTTCAAGTTCTCCCCAGCCCTATCCCAGAACCCTTCCTTCTCTCCTACCATGCTGTCTGTCTGTCTGTCTCTGTCACACACACACACACACCCCTGGCTGAATTCCTGTTCCATCCCCCGAAACTAACCCCACTTCAAATGGGATCTCAGCCTATCCTCCCTTTTCCCCTTGCCCTTCCTCTCCACGCAGCCCCCCTGCCCTCCCCAGAGTAACCTAAATCTCCCAATAAGGCAGCTCTCTTAAGAGAGAGGACTCCCAAAAGCCAGAAACTGGATGAAAGCTTCCAGAATTAAGCCAGAACAACCAATCTTCACATGGACTCTCCCATTCAGGCAGGCAGGCAGACAGCACAGATTGAGGAGACAGGGAGAAAGGCAGGATGCTCTCCTATCTCTGGTCCCCAGTCCTCAAAACTCCCTCCACTGTGGCAGTCTGGATTTTCTCCTTCCTTGCTAAACAGTACAGAACCTGTGATATTTAAGAATGACAGACAGCCCCTGTCTTGCCTACTGTTCTCCCTTTCTGGGCCCTATCTTCAGAGCTCCAATCTTTGCCTTCCAATCCCAATGGGAAGCCCATTGAGGTGGGGGGAGGGGGCCAGAGTGAGGTGGAAAGGATTCCCCAGCTATTTCCCTGTGATTTCTATCACATCATCGTCTTTGTCCTCATCTTCATTGGAGCTGCACCCCACCTCCGAGACCTCGTGGGAGTCAAAATGAGGCACCTGGGACCGTAGAAGACTGCCAGCTGGGTACCCCGAGTGGGGGGACATATAGCTTGGGTAGACTGACATGCCCCGGGCAAGGCTGCTGGGCAGAATGGTGGAGGGGAAGGGTGCAAACATCCTGGGCTCGGGCAGGAGAGACTGTGTGAAGGGAAGTGAGTAGCTAGGCAGCATCCCCGTCACAGAGGGGTTTAGCATGAAGGAAGGGACACTGGCAGTGGCTGAGGTAGCAGCAGAAGAAGAGCTGACTGGGCCAGCTGGCAGGAGGGGGTCAGTAGTCACTGGGAATACCAGAGGGGAGTCTGCCAGCAGATTGGGCAGCTGGTAATAGGAGGAGCCAGTGCCCATGTAGAAGGAGTTCCCCGCCTGGGGGGTGAAGGGATGGGTGAGGTTGTGGTTTAAAGAGACTGGTGGCATGGCAAATCCACTGGAAACTGGGTACCCGTGTTCATACGGCTGCACGGGGGCTGGCAGCTGGCACTTTTTGGGCGGCCGGCGGGCTGGCTCCTCTGTGGCAGATGGTGAGGCCGACTTGCGTTTGTTGCCCCGTAAGTCCAGTACTGGGTGCCCATCACTGGGCTGGCTGGTGGCCGGGAGGGAAAGGGCCAGGCAATGGCTCCCTAATCGAGGCTCAGGCCCTCGAGCTGTCCCAGGGACTGCGTTACTGTCTGTAGACCGGGTTGGGGGACCAGAGGAGACAGGGTTGGTGCTAGGCGAGATGTGATGGGTCTCTCGAGCAGCTGCAGCCTCTGCATACTGCTGCAATTCACTGATGATCTCAGGGCTGTCAGGGGAAATAGGTCTGGCCAGCTCCTCTGTGTTGGGGGGTTTGGGCGATGAGGCACTATGTCTGCCATTGCTTGTGGACTCTAGAGATGGACCCTGGGATCCTGGGAGCAAAACATATATATACCTGGGAGTTAGAAAGGACAAGGAGAAACTGACTACTTATCGGAGTGCTCAGGCACTGCCTATCTACCGAAGACCCACCCTCAACTCAAGTATAAGGGCTGGCTGACTTTGGAGTGGTTATAAACCTAAAGTCAAAGGTTCCAATTTGAGGATCCAATTTTCAAGGGAACAATCTAAATGAACTCAGCTACCTGGTCTCAATTCTTCAAAAAGTCTTCAATATAGAGTGGGGGGGGGGGAGAGGGGCAAGGCATTGTGCCCTAAAACTAGGGCAGAAGTTTCTATAACTGAACATTGAAGCTAAGAATCTAAAGAGGGCTAGGTTAGACTCAGACCAGGCTTATTTCTCTTTATGGAGGAAGATGAAGAGGAGAAAAAGAGAGGTCAAAGTGTGACTCAGACCAGTAGTTAGAGGTAAGAGAGTCAGTCACAGAGGTACCTGAGGCAGCTGTCCGGCGATCATCATCAGCCTTTGGTTTTCCAGTTGTCCTGATGGCAAAAATCCGCCCATCACTCGTCCGGATATATGTCCCTGAAATGGACAAGAAGACGAGATAAAACTGCCATAATGTATCCATGACATGAGAGATTTGTAAAGCACTCAGCACAGTGCCTGGAACATAGTAGGTGCTTAATAAATGCTTATTCCTATTCCTTCCCCCTCCTCCCCTATCCTATGAAGGCTTCAGGCCTAATTACATTTAATTGGCTACAAGCTATGCAATTAAGCTTCAAACTCTTGTCAATACAACACTCTGGGAAGGTGGTGTTGGGGCAAGGGTGCATAGAAATAGGAAAAAACCCAGCTACTAAAGCTCTGCAGCACTGAACAGCCCGAGAGAGAAGCCCAGGCCCCTGACACTGAATGGCTTAGCGAGGAGGGAGGGGGTCACTTAAACTCTGTTCCCCACATCACAGCTCCAGACCCTGTTCCTAATGCTTTGCCATTCTGACAGCTGCCACCCCCTTTCTCAGTCCTCCTGCCAGAGAGAAACACAGAGGCCTGTGCTCCATCTGCTAAAGGGATCAATCCCCTTTAGTTTTCAGCACTCGAGCCTAACTCTCAGGAGCACTACAAAATGGACAATGCACCACTTTTGTACTGTGCCGTCAGCCTACTTCAGTGGCAAATGCGTGTCCCCTATCAGGTTCAGCAAGGATGGAAGTAGAATATCCTTGCTAGAAGTCCAGGAACTCTTTGGAGTTGGCCAAGGTTACTTAATGGGCCTAGTCTGAAATACTCTCCACAACCAGAGACTATAATCATAATTCAAGCCTCTCTCATATCTGTTCAAGATCACCTTAGAGGTATATTGAGTGATTTCCTTTAGCCTATCCTGACTTTATTTCCTAATTGCCCACACCTGCCAATGTGCACATGTCACACCTCCCCTGGCTTGGGACAGCAATAGCATCAGGGGCAGCTGGGCTCTAGGCTCTCACCCTTTGTTCCACGGATGATATGGATGCTCTCCCCAGCACTGATTCTTGCCTGCACATCTGTGGAGCTGTTTGTTCCAGGAATGACAATATCTGGTGGATAAACCGATATCTGAGGTTATAAGAGCATCTAAACTAATTCATGTTGATGAAGGGTTGGGAAAGCTATTTTGTGGTTAAAATTCTTGAGGGAAGAAGACCACTGCCATAGATCTACACCCAGTTAATCTCACCACTAAGGCGACCTCAAAACCCTTTATTCCCAAGAAGGCTATCTTGACTAATCCCATACCACAACAATTTTTTAATTTTCTAAATTCTAACAGCACTTAAAGAATATATATTATACAAATGAATATTTGATTATATACCAGCTTGTATTTTTCATTTATTTCATAAATGTGCATAGTGGGTCTCCAACTAGGGTGTGAGCTTAAGAATGAAGACTGTTTTCTGTCTTCCTCTTAACATCCTTTGTAATAACAAAGGGCTGAATACGTAGTAAGAACTTAAATGTCTGTGGAATGAAAATAGGAATTGAGAGCAAAAGTGGCACTCTTGGAATTGTGCCCAAGTCACTGACCTGTTGTTGTAACAATCTTCTGCACGAGGACCCCTGCACGCTGTAAGTAGTTGATGGGGAAGTTAACTGCTGGGTTGGATGCTGAGGCAGAAACTGAGCTGCCCAGTGGGACATGCCGGGGCATCATAGGGATGGGGGTTGACTGCACAGGGCGGACGCTGGCCACAGGCTTGTCATCACCTTTCAGGGTTGGTCTCCTGAGAGAAGATGAAGACCAGAGGTGGTCAACACAAAATGTCTTATTTATTCTTGCTGGTCAGGTTTTGAGAGTCCCTTCTAAGTGGGATGCTCTAGCTTACTTGGAGGGACAGCCTTTAATAGTGAAAACAGATTAAGAACCAGAAGATATGAGTCTATGCCTGGCTCTTGCATTAGTTAGCTGTGGGGCCTTTATTCAAGTCATTTAGCCTATTTGAGTCTTCAGGTTCCTCAACAAAAAATAATCCTTTCGGGGCAGCTAGGGGAGCAGTGGATAGAGCACTGGCCCTGAAGTCAGGAGAACCTGAGTTCAAATCCGGCTTCAGACCAAACACTTGACACTTACTAGCTGTGTGACCCTGGGCAAGTCACTTAACCCCAATTGCCTAAAAACAAAACAAAAAACCAAAAAAAATGATCCTTTCTTCACAGCAGTATTATGATTATCCAATGGGATTAACATGTGAAAGCACTTTGAAAACTACAAACAGTATTACAGAAAGACAAGGTGCTTTGCTATTCCCTAACTGAGCTCCAGATTGTTGGGTACCTAGCTAGGGGCACACTCCCTTTGACACCAGAGATTAGAAAAGGATGAAGAAAAAAAAACTCAGTATAGCTTCCAGCTTGCCCATCCACATGGGTTTTCAGTCTTCAGTAACATCTTAGAGGTAAAGGAAAACTATTCCCTAGGCACCCTCTCTTTGTCGGAGGGGCACAATTGTTCCAGGTGGTCAGGCAGGGAGATTTTTCCTTCATCTGTCCCCACCCCTCCATCACATTAACTTCCTCATGTCTACCTGTCACCCCTCCCTTCCTGCAGCATGACTAGATCAAGAGGCCAGGTTAATGGCAGGTGTTTCATCACATATATTGAACAACTGAGAACACTGTGTTTCCAACATAGGTACCAATTCAGTTACCAGCCATATCCCAGAGCTCACAATCATTAGGAGGGACTTGCAGTGCCTGGCCAATCCAAAAGGGAAAAGGAAAGAGGGGTAGAACACAGGAAAAGAGGGAGTAGAAAGGGAAAAGAGAAAGAGAAAGAAACTTTCAGAATCAGTTTAAGTACTAAGAACTAGATGTTGCTTCTAGGAATGACTTTTGGGGAGAGGGGAAATGCTAGATTTTCAAATCCTTCAAACTTCACAGGATTCTCATTAAGGACTAAGGAACTAGAGTTTTTGTCTGGATCAAGTAGTTATGTCCCCAGAGGACACTTGGAAAAAGTGTAAGACACACCATGGATGATAGAGGCTGTTCAAACCACACCAAATGCTGAGTGGAAATGTGAGGAATTCCTCCACTGACCTAGAAATATTCATGTGATATAACATTTCCTGGCATTAATTAGTACTGAAGGGGAATATGTGAAAAATAACGTTTTACAAGTTCATTCTTCTGGCTCTCTCTAGGTACCTAAGTATGATAGTTGAGCTGTACATAGCAGGTTTTATTAAAACAAGTTGGAAATCATAGAATGTTAACAGCTAGAACTCTGGAAATCACCTAATCTAACTACATTAAAGATGAGGCTGAGGGAATACTTCTAACTCCCTGAATTTAACACAATGAAAAACTGCTTCCACAAACTATCTGGGAGTGTTACATGCTCAGAGATAAAACACTAGACAGGATAAATCACTGGACTGATTCAGCAGAGCCTAATTACTGGATGGGTTTTTGTTACCAAACACAGATGGACAGATGAGCAACTTTCAAGTTCTGTGAATGTTCATACTCCCTTGATAAAGTCATTAAAGAGAAGATAGAAATTCTATTAAAATAAGTTATACATTTTACAAACACAGGCCTTATAAAGTCACTCCTGGGTGTGGCACAAATATTGGCACCAGTAGAAGAAGTGTCTGTCGCTAAAGGAGAACTACTGCCCACAATCACCATCCTCTGTCCCCGTGATTAAAGCTCAGCAGTCATAAAGCCAGAGGCTCTGACCCCACCTCTGATGCTTCCTCCTTGTGTATGTATTAAATGACCTTGTCATTTAATCTTCTTATAGTTAAAACGAGGGGATTGGACAAAAAGGCCTCTGAGATGCCTTCCAGCTCTGGATCTTTGATTTGATGACCAGCCTCTCTTTCTGGCCCAATGGATAGAGCACTGGGCCTGGAGTCAGGAACACTCTCATTCAAACTTGATCTCAGACTCTTACTAGCTGTGTCATCCTAGGCAAGTCACTTAACCTTTGTCTGCCTCAGTTCTCCCATCTGCCAAATGGGGATAACAGCAGCTCTCTCTCCCAGGGGTATGGTGAAGATCACAGTGCTTAGTATGGTACCTGGCACATAATAAGTGCTATAAAGATATTAGCTATTATCTATGTATATTCTCAGCAATCACATTGTTTTGACCATCTCTCCTTTATTTTATTTGTTTTAAATAATGAGAGAGAGATGAGAGACTAAAGATATAGGCTAGGCTGTCCTGTGGAAAAGAGCATGGGAGGGGCAGCTAGGTGGTGCAGTGGATAGAGCACCAGCCCTGGAATCAGGAGGACCTGAGTTCAAATCTGGCCTCAGACATCTAACACTAGCTGTGTGACTCTGGGTAAGTCACTTAATTCCCAATTGCCTCACAAAAACAAACAAACAAACAGCATGGGGTAGTGAGAAGGGCCTGTATGTAGAGTGAGAGGGTCTGGGATAAATTCGCACTTATGCAGGGGCAGGTTATTTCCTTTCTTTGGCCCTTGGTTTTGTAAACTGTAAAATGGTTAGACTAGACAGTCATTATGATCCCTTCCCCTTTCTCAACTCTATGACACTTTGATCACTTCTCCTACAAAATAAAAACTGAAATGATCAGAGTTAGAAAAAAATGCCCTAATCCTCAGGACCACTGCATTACAAAAGAAAAAGAATAACCCTCCCAGGCAGGAGACAAGAAATGGATGCAGTTTTAAAATCTATCCCATCTTGTTGCACAATACCACCTATTATTTCCCTACTTCAAGCAAAATGTGGAAATGCAAGCAATTTATGCTTTTAGATACTTAAGAATTACTCATTTCAAAATATTTAATGGGCATAAAAATAAGAGCCAAAGCACAAGGAAGTGATACATCAATGTAAATATTATTATAGGATGGTTATCCACTTGGAAAAAATGGAAAACACAAATTATATTACAATTAACAATTTATTTTTTAAATCCCAAATTTTTCTACAATCCAAAGATATAATGAACGTGGTTCCAGTTACTTTATATCCTAGAAGTTAATTTGACATTTTTCATGTAAGATACTTAGAAAATAGCAACAAAAATGTACAAAATCAATCAGTTAAGTTCCTGAGCCCCTAGAAAAGAGGAGAAAGGTATTATCCTGAACACATCAGTGTAATATACCAAAGTGTAAAAATAGGCAGCAGATCTGGTTATTGAATAGGAAGGTCAAAGTTGGGAACCACATTGTCCGAAAATGAGAAGAGAAATTAAACACATAACTGCACTATAATTTATGATAAAGAACCTTATCAACTGTTGTCTTTGCTTCTGCTTGGAGGCTGAAACATTCTAGAAGTGCCCAAGGAGATTATAACTGTGTATACTTAGAGCTCAGCCACCTATTGAAACCTCATTAACAACCAAGAGCAGAAAATGGGCAGAGAAGGCCCTACCCTTCAATGACCAGCTTCCCAGCATAGCTCCTGAAAGAATCACCATCTTCTAGGGACCAAAATGCCATTGAAACTGGGGCAATGGAAACTTTACCAGTGATATAATGGGCTTGGTTTACATCAGGGTAGTGAGGACAGCACATATGAAAAGAAGGGGTTTGCAGTTTCAGGCTTCTCACTGCCCAAAAAAGTTAGGAGAGCACACGATCTCTGTCTCCTGGGAGCTAGAGTCAGAAATTCAACAAACCCACCCTTCTTCCCCTTGCAGTAACATAAGCACAAGCTACTGAAGCAATTCTGCTAGATATGCATGTTGTTCTAACAATGAACAGTATGTGTAATCTTTTCATTTAAAAATACAAATTGTTTTGTCTTAATGTTCAAAGAAAAAGTAAATCTTGGTTCTAGCTCCTGGAAGCCTCTTAGATTTAGACACTCACCAGTTTCTCTGGCTGAAGGCAGGGATACTGGTCAGGCTCTGGTCACTGGCAGGATAATACTGAGCATAGGATGGACGTGTGTAAGGGACAGACGCCCGCTTCTCTTCTTCATAGCTTTTCTTTGCTGCTTTTTTCTCTGCCTTGGTCAGCTTGTGCTCCTTTCGATCCAAGAGCAGCGACTCGTGCTGGAAAGGCTCCTGCAGAAGCAGGGAGGTTTAGACACTTTTCCTCTACTCACCTACTCAGCTGGCCCCCAAAAAGCACACAAGCTCCTCACTCCCCTTCCCCGTGTAAAGCAGCACCACTGTACCAGAAGGAGTAATGGATAGGAAGGACTAAGAGAAGTACAGGAAGGCTTATGTGAACTGATGCATGGTAAAGAAAGTAGCACCAGTAACACACACACACATCAGTGATTAAAATGTGAATGGAAAGAACAAAACACTCAACCTGAATGCAGTGTAAGCATAACAATCAAGTTTGGTCACAGAGAAAAGGTGAAAAAGTGCATCTCCCTCAGGCCTTTGCAGAGGCAGGAGACTAAGGGCGTGACACATTCACTGCGCATGCACCAATTCTGTGGCGGCTAGTTGTGTTGAGCTGCTTTTCTTTTTTTTTTTTTTACAAGGTCTGCAGTGTAAGGGACAAGGGAGGTATATATTCAGAAATGAAGGTGATGTAAAAACAAGATATCAGAAAATATATTTTAACAAATGGGAGTTAAGCGGGTGGGTCTGTTCTTCCAGAGGTACTAATGAAAAAGTGCTTCAAAATAGAAACAAATACAGTTTTGCTTTTTCCTACTCATCACATACCTAGCAATTCTGACTAAGGAAAAAATGGATACTGTCCACCACTATGACCCCTACTCCTGGGACATAGGCAGATGATGGGGAAAGGAGAAAAGTGTTACAAAGGGGGTCCTAGTCTTCCCTTCTACAAAAACTACCACCCCTAGAAAAGCACCATTAAATCACAGGTTCCTAAGAGAGGAGGGTCTGTATACCCTATTTTTGCATCCGTGATGCTAAACACTGTGTCTTATATAAAAATCATTACTTAATAATTGTCTGATGAAGCAGACTGCCTTGGGCAATAAAGGTAGAAATTTAGAATGAGCGAATCCATTCGTTTGAGGAGTGCTGTTACCTTCTTTTATATATATATATATATATATATATATATATATATATTATATATATATTATATATATATATATATATTATATATATATATATCTCCTTTTAGGGGAGTAAATACACTAAATAGGATATGGTACACACCTTGGTGATGAGGTGAGGGTACTTGAGACATGCAAGTTGTAAGACAGAGTCCTTGATTTTACTGATGTTCAGTGCCAGCTGGGTGGGGTCTGGCTCCTCTTCTACAAAATGCAATAGGTTTTCTACCTCCCTCCGGGTGAAGTTGAGCACTGGATTTAAATCATCCACCACCCGATCTGAAAAGGGAGATGACATGAGGTGTGTCAGGGAAGCAAGTAAAGAAACTGATTACAAATGCAAAATCACAAAACTGGAGAAAGTAAAAAATAAGTTTTTACATGGCATCAATTCAGCTATATTCCACACTATAAGACTAGAACAGCAAAATGAGGTCTTATTTAGGACCAAGGTTGTAGGAAGTCCTAAGTCTGAGGCAAGACACTGAAGAGAAATTCATATGCCAGTATGGCATCAAATGAATATTTCACCATCAATATTTCAACAAATTAAAATCAAAGCTCTTCACAAGAGCTTTCTTAAGGCCTCTAAGGTGAAGAAGATGGTAATAGGGTAAGAAAAGACTACAGACTTCTAAAAAATTCAAAGCCAAAATTTCCATATCCTCACTTCTTTTGCCTTTGACTTCCTTCTACCCTCTAGCTCATGGACACCTTGATATGGGTTACCTGACATTCCCTGTTTGGAAATCTGCCGGTCATAGATTTTCTTCTCCAGAGTGTAGTCAGACACTAGTCGGTAGATATGACAAGGCTTCTTCTGCCCATAGCGGTATACACGACACACTGCCTGAGCATCATGACAAGGGTTCCAGGAGGCATCAAACACCACAACTCGGTTGGCACCAATCAGATTCACACCCAAGCATCCAGCTCTTTAAAATATAAGTCAACAAGCACAAAACTCATCTACAGAAGAGTACTGACTTATTAGAGTTTGCAAATCAGTTTTCATCTTGTTGTTGCCACTTATAGCCCTTAAAACAAAATTAACTGCTCCTGTCTAGCACCACGATACCCTAGCTCTCTGCTGCGCCTCAGAGAAAACCCCCCCCACCATGGTTATTGGAACCTACACTGTTCCCCACCTCTCAGCTCGTTTGTCCTTCACTTTCAAAGAGGACCAGTGACATCACAGGTAATAGCTTGTGCATGAATTGGTTTTAAGTGAGGCAGAGTTGAACAAAGTTATTAGCCTCTCTCTTCATGAGTTATCAAAGGCCAGTGGCAGGACAAATGTCAAGATGATAGCCCTGGATGCAGTGGACGACCTTAGCGTCTTCAATGCCTAAGCACTCCACAGCACCTGCTTCAGCAGCCTTCGTGGCCATTGAAACAGATTGTTCTCATTCACCCATTCCCCTAGGGGCATCTTCACGTGCCTGGGGGAGACATCCCCCTAAATCACCAACAGGTTTGAGGCACATTGGTTTACCCTAGTTTAGCCAGTTTGCCAAAATGGCTTACCAGGGTGTGGCCACTGCACATGCAATAGCTTCTTGGAATGACAGGTGAGAGTCAGGTGAAGGTGGACACTAAAGGTGTGTGAGCAGCCCTGAAAAGGGCTTGGTAAGCTCTCACAACAGGGGTGCTAGTCTTCCCAAACACCCCATACACTTTACCCCTTGGTAATGACCAATGAGAGATCCTTTGAGCTTGGGTGTATGGAATAACACCACCATTACTTATTTCAGTAGTCTTTTTAAAATGCTTTTCTCTCCGTTATCTCATTTGTTGGTGTAAGACAGGGAAGGCAGGTATGGCCATCCTCAGGAAGCTTCCTCTGAAATTTAAGAAACTAGATACTTACACTAGACCTTTCATGAACAGGGCATCCTCACAAACAACTGTTCTCTCCCTCTACAACAATTTCTATAGCACCTTCTTTCTTAACTCTCCAACAAGCTGTAAATATCCTCTTTTCTCTTTTCCCTGAATTGAAGACCAAATTACAGACCAAGGCAGCTATTACAGTAGATGCCCTAATAGTGACCCTTTCAAGCAGAAGTATGTGAGAAAAGAGTTCAAAAATGGCTCTATCCACTGCTAAACTCCTTTCAACCTCCACTCCCCAAGACCCTACTCACCGTGTAGAAAGGAGGAAGAGCCACACAGAACTGTTGTTGGGATCATTAAATTGGTTGATAAGACGTTCCCTTTCAGAAGCCGAGGTGCTACCATCTAGTCCTGGGAAGGGAAATGGCAGATTTTGATGATACAGGACTGCCATAAATACACAGAGACTATATTAAGCCCCTTTCCCATCTACCAGGACTTTAGGTGCTATCTCCCTTAATGGACAGATAGATATATCTACCAGGAAGAGACAGGAGAAAATTGCCCTCATGTGCTTTTAAGAATCTTAGAGTGAAAAGCTAACAAGAAAGTAGAGTTCAGAGTAGAAATCACCTATCCAAGAAAAAATGCTGTGCCCCTCCAAGACCCAGAGGTACTCAATGGAAGGTTCTCTTCCTCAACCCTAATGTCAAGGCACAGACTCCCACTGACTTCCTGAACATACAGTACACAAGCAGCCTCCAAGTTAAAAAAAAAAAGACAGAGCAGGATGTGGTCAAGCCAAAGACATCTTAAAAGCTGGCACAAAGTACTTGACACAGAGCAGTAGGTCAAGGCACCCAAGAAAAGGAAAGGAATTAGAATGAGCCTAATACATGTTAGTCAGTAAAGAGTTACATTTGGTGCTGGTTCTAGTAACAGACTAAGATCCAGAGGGCCATGGGCTGTAATTCATTAGCTCAAGGCATCTTTTCTCTTAGTAAAACAGATAAAAGAATGCTGACTTGGGCTGATGAACTACCAGCACCAGAACTGTGAAGCTCTATGCAACTATATATCATGACATTTGTGCAGGACTTTATGGGAAGGAAAATTAGTCACAGACCAACAAAGTAAACCACGGACATGCAAGGAGATACTTCTAAAAATGGAAGAGGCCTCGCTTAACATCAAAGGCTCTCCATTATTTGGTTCCAACCTATGTTTCATGCCTTTTTCTCTATTATTTCCCAAAAGAAATTCACTGGGTGTGCTCGTGCACACTTATAATCCAAGTTACTGGGGAAACTGAGGTTGGTGGAACCCCTGAGCTCAGAATTTTTGAGCTATAGTGGATCATGCAACAATATGGTAAGCCCCTGGGAGCTGGGGAGTGGTAAGAGGTGCCAGGCACCAATTCAGAAATGGAGCAGGTGAAAACTGTTGCTCAGTAGTGGATCAGCCTGCAAGAAGTCACTGTACTTTTAGGCTGAATGAGATGGAGGGAGGAGAGGGGGAGGGAAGAAGGCTTTACTTCAGTCAAAATAATTTCCTCATTTGTTCATACTATTTCTCTTGCTTCAAATGGTCTCTCTTCACAGGATCATAGATTTAGAGCTGGAAAGGACCTTAAAAACCATCTGGTCAGTCTCTTTCATTTTACAGATAAGGGACTGAGACCCAAAGAGCTTAAGAGACTTCCCTAGAGGTAGTGGCAGAAGTGAGATTTGAATTCAGATCTTTTGAATCAAATCTAAGGCTATTTCCATTGAACTACACTCTCCTCTTAGCCTACCCAATCTCATTCACCTTTCATAGTCTAATTTATCTCAACCTCTTCCATAAAGGCTTCCCTCACCCCACAGTGATCTCTCCCTCCTCTCCATTCCTAGAGCAATTTTTGTTTACACCACTCATGCAATACTTAAAATATAATGCCTTCTATTACTAATTGCTTATGCCCACATTTCTTTATCCCAACTAGACTGTAAACTCCCAGAAGATTAGCATTATGTTTTATACTCCTTCAGATCTGTCCCCATAGTGCCTAGTATAATGCTTTGCACTGTATGTTATGCCAGTAAATATCAGTTGATTGATTAACCATGGATGCTCAAGTGAGCATAAAAAGAATGAGGTAGAGGACTAAGGAAAGGAAAAGAAAAAAAAAAAAGGAAAGAGGAGGAAAATGCCACGCTCAACAGACGTTCCCCACAATTTGATGTGATCAAATCAATAGGAATGAACTCACGGTAATAGCTGAGGTTTCGGACCCAGTTCTGATCTCCTTGCCCATCTGAGCCAGGCAGGCAGGGCATTAGTCTCTTGGCCAGGAACTCCTCGATGACAGACAAGGTGGAAAGGCTCTGACTGCAGAGAATAACAAGTCATATCAATAAAACCTGCCTGAGGGTATTTTGTCCAAAAGCAAAAAGTTCCTTAAAGTTTTTGTAGATGCTTCCTGTCCTTAAAAAAATAAATGTATCATCCCAAAGCACAACACAAAAGTGTCTCTGGGGCCCCTTCTCAGCCAAGAATCCATGAGTACAGATTGTATTCAAGACATAAAAAGATATTTTCTTCATTTCAGATTTGTACAAAATCATCATCTCCACACCTACAGCCAGAAACCAAAAAATCTCCACCCTTGTTCCTGTCTCTCCTTCTATTTGTGCATCATCAGCCAAAGAATTCTGCAGTTGGGTACCATGTCTGGTAGGTGAGTGTTCAGGCACATCAGAACTCACTATGGTGCTACAAGCAACCTCATAAATCTTTCCAGGGGAAATAGATGTCTTACTGCCTTGAAGAAGACATCTTTCTCAACCCTGCAGTCCACAAAAGGAGGGTCAGAAATCCTTTGGAAAAAATGTTACCCAATTTTACACTTTATCTGGCCTGGATGTGACTCTGGTCAAGACAGATTATGAAAGATAAACCAAGACACTGATAGTCTTTAGTCACATTCAAATAGCTGCTGATGCCTGGTTCTGTTACTGAATTATTTAATAAGATATTTTACCCAGGTATGGTATGATGCAATGTGAAAACCCCCCAGATTTTAACAATCACTCTTTCCTCAAATCCCGTCCTGGGTGGTATGAGGTGTTTCAAAAGATGAAGACCTCACTTGGAAGCAGTTAAAAAAGCAGTTAAGAGATAGAGAACATTATGAAAAGCAAAATGGATAATTTTGATTACATTAAATTGAAAAGATTTTGCACAAAGCCAATGCAACCAAGATTAGAAGGAAGGTAGAAAATTGGGAAAGAATTTTTACAACGAGTCTCTCTCATAAGGGCCTCATTTCTAAAATATATAGAGAATTAAGTTAAATTTATACAAATACAAGCCATTCCCCAATTGATAAATGGTCAAAGGATATGAACAGACAGTCCTCAGATGAAGAAATTAAAGCCATCTATAGTCATATGAAAAAATGCTCTAAATCATTATTGATTAGAGAAATGCAAATCAAAACAACTCTGAGGTACCACATCACACCTATCAGATTGGCCAACATGACAAAACAGGAAAATGATAAATGTTGGAGAAGATATGGGAAAACTGGAACACTAATGCGTCGTTGGTGGAGTTGTAAAATGATCCAACCATTCTGGAGAACAATTTGGAACTATTCCCAAAGGGCTATAAAAATGTGCATATCCTTTGACCCAGCAATAACACTTCTAGGGCTATATCCCAAAGAGATCATACAAATGGGAAAAGGACCCACATGTACAAAAATATTCATAGCAGCTCTTTTTGTGGTGGCAAAGAAGTGGAAATTGAGAGGATGCCCATCAACTGAGGAATGGCTGAGCAAGTTGTGGTATATGAATGTAATGGAATACTATTGTGCTATAAGAAATGATGAACAGGCTGACTTCAGAAAAACCTGGAAAGACTTGTATGGTCTGATGTTGAGTGAAGTGAGCAGAACCAAAAAAACGTTGTACATAATAACAGCCACATTGTGCAATGACTAATATTGATAAAATTAACTCTTCCCAGTAATACAAGGATCTAAGACATCTCCAGAGGCCTCGTGATGGAAAATGCTATCCACATTCAAAGAAAGAACTATGGAAGTTGAGTTGCTATTTTTTTTTCTCTTCTATTGAGTTTTGTTTCCTCTTTCTGATGGTTCCTCCTATTGGTTTTAATTTTTACTTACAATATCACTAATGTGAAAATATGTTTAATAGGAATGTAAATGTATAGCCTATATCAGATTGTGCACCATCTTGGGGAGGATGGTGGGGAGGAAGGGGGAAAAAATTTTAAATTCAAAAGCATATGGAAGTGATTATTGATAAATCAAAATAAATTAATAAAATTAAATTTAAAAAAATAATTAAAAAGCAGTTAAGTCAGCTCCAATGAGGGCCACCACGGCCCTTATATCCTCAAAGATAAGTCTTGTTATAGGGGAAGAAATGAGACCCCTAGCTTTTAAAATTTCTTTGAGAGAAAAAGTCATCCCTGGAGGAAGATCCAAATCCTGAAACACTGGAAAAGTTCTACAACGTCTTCCAGGAAGAAATTTCATTAATAATGAAGGAGAAGAATTATAATGATAGAGGCTAGCTCTAAAGAAGAGAGAAAAAGACACCTCCTGTTGCAATTTTGCATTGATACATAGGTCTACAGGTGTGGAATACTGCATATAATGTCAGATTTTTTCAATGTGTTCATTGGTTTTGATGAACTTTTTCCTCTTCTTCCCTTTAAAAAAATTCTTTGTTATAAGGGATGGCTCTTAGTATAAGGAAAAGGGAAAGGATACGGGAGGAAACATATGTGAACAAAAGATATGAATAAAAATGTATTTTTTAAAAAACACAAAAACAAAGAGGAGAAAGAAAAAATGAAGAAAAATAAAACAGAAAAAGGAGAACCTAATATTATGCAGTGGGTGAGAAGAAATGACATCTGTCTCATTCTGTTAACTGCTCCATTTCCTTTGGAAATATGATGTAAAACCTCACCAGGGTACTTGGGAAGTAGCTAATACTCTTACCTGAATACAAGGATCTTGTCCCCAAGTTTCACACTTTCTTCAATTAAGTGGAAAAGCAGCACCATTTTGGGTGAGTTCTCCAAGACTCCGGTCTGATAATCACATAGGATGTCCTTGGCCTAAAACAGAAGAATCAACAGCTCAGAGCTGTTCTAAAGCCAGTTCATTATAAGCAACAGTCACCATTGCCTCAAGATAATTTCTAAATTGGTTTCATTCTCACTATTATTTGGGAAAAGGCAAAAACTTTCCCCTGTCTACTATGAGCTTTTCCTCCCAAAATATACAATATATCACCACCTATCGACTAATTATTCCCACTCAATATTCAGCTTTGAGCCCCCAGACACTTACTATATGGAAGGCAGAGGGAGCCTGTCTCACTCATTCTATCCTTTCTTTGTCCTCCCTATGACCATCAGTCTTTCTACACATCAGTGCTCCCTCATCTCCGGCCATCACTCTAGCCCTACCTTCACTTTCCTTTCTTTTCAATCTTGACCCTATGGTGAATGAGTTAAAAAAGTTACTTTTTATTTACCTTAAATCCATTTCCTGCATTCCCTGCTGTTTTCCCCCAATATTAGTTAAGCTCTCTGAGCACAAAGACCATTTTCTGTTTGTCTTGGTATCCCCAGAATTCCTAGCACATCATCAGGCATTTCAAAGGTGCTTAATGAATACAAGTAAAACAAGAGCCTCCTGTCCCCAAAGAGCTGGCATACAAGCCAGTGAGAGAGCAGTTTTCTTGAACTCACCCATTCATAAGTGACAACCTGGTTGGCTCGCTCTTGAAAGGGGTTGAAGCCTCCTACCCCCTGTAGGAATTTGCTGTTTGTTGCCTCTCCCCCTGAGGGTGCCAAGGTACTGCCCTCGGTTTTGACTTTAATTCCCTGGGTCTGGCAGCGGGCATTGGTCCCAGCTGTGCTGAGGTCATCTACATCCAAGTCCTGCTCATTGGCAAGGTTCTCTTTCTGAAGGGCTTCATGCAGCACATCAGGATGATTCCAGATCTGAGGCCCACAGGAAAGGGATGAGTAACAGGAAGGAGTTAGGTCTCACCCGCTGCCATTCCTTCTTCCCTCCCCTCTATTCCTAGGTCTTGCTGGCATATATGCACACGCATGCGCGTGCGCGCACACACACACACACACACACACACACACACACACACACACACACACACTCTAACAAGAGAAACTGAAAACTCCTTTTGATTAACTAGTTCTAGTTGCCACAATGTAATTTATAGAAATGAGAGATATGGAGGGATATTAGGAGAAATTTTAATGACATAAAAATATAAAAAAATATATTTTTAAAAAAAGAAATAAGAGATTTGCTCCCAAGGGATTTATCTTTTCCTTAGTCTATAGTCAGACAGCTGGAGTCAATAGCTAAAATTTTGTTTCTGTTTGTTTCACTCTGTGGCCTTGGTAAGTTAGATACTCAATGACTGAGAGTCTCCAAATGTAAAACAAGACCCATGTCTGACAGACGTAGTAATGGATTACTGTTCTGGGGATGTTCTAAATTCTAATACGAATATGAAATCCCTGGCAGGGGCACAGAATTCTTTGGTGTGGGGGTTAGTGAAAATATCACTGCTAGCTTCATGAAAACTATACTTCCCTGTCACTGATATGAAGCTGTGGAGACTGACTGCAGGGCAAATGCTTTAGAACCTCATATTCACCTATCTTTCTATTTGACTTGGCTAAAGCAACTTTCTGATTTGGGTAAAGTAACTTTCCATAAGACACAATGGAACAGCTCAAACTCAATGGCTGGTATTGGTTAAAATGAAAAAGTTTTCCGTCTTGAAGACACCATTGTGTTTCTCTTAACAGGGGCTTAAGTCTTTGCTTATAGTTGTTACAGAGAGACCAGAAGGTTTTCTACTTGCTTATAAGGCTTATAAGGGTGCTTTGGCCTTGCACTGTCTTCAAACTCTTCCAGCCTGAAGGGAATTCAAATCCAGCTGAATGCAGAGATGAAGGGGAGAGATATATGAATAGCCTTTCTAATCTATGGACTTCTCTAAACCTCATTGTTACAAACACCAAAGGTTGGCTGGCAGTGCCCTCACTCATTTTATACAGGGAAAGCCAGACTCACAAAGGGGAAGTGATCTTTTTGGGGTTATGGCAATTTAGCAATAGGAGACTGGCCCTCGGAGCCATCTGATCTTCCAGGTCTGCCTGGGCACTAAGGCAGTAGTGCTATTTTTACTTTCCCATTCAGTAGGCAGACACTAGTATACTGGTCTAACATCCCACCAACACCAATTTCAATTATATTTTCCTAAACGACTCCTGTCTTATTCCTCCTACTCACCTTGCAGCACACACAGAAAGCCTTAAGAGGGTTAAGCCCCAGCCAGCCACTGTTGCCAGCGTCACGGAAACGATTCATGAACTCTGTGTACAAAGCCCGCTGGATTTTGGAGAGTCTCACTAGGATTACATGCTCTTCTTTGTATGGAAGCTGTATCTTCAGCACACTGTGGCCTCGCCTACAGAAGCAATGCCAAAAGGAGAGTGAGGAGGCAATAAGAGAAGGTCATGGGCTGATGTAGGATAAAAATTAAATATTCATAGTTACCCTTCTTTTTAGGGACCTTTATGATTTATTGTGGCTATGCATTAGTGAGCTATAAATCATCAAACTTTAAACATTTAATCACTCAAAAAACATTTATTAAGCAACTATGCTGTGCCAAGCACTGGGGATATACAAATGTTGCTGTTCATCCTTCATTTTTGAAGAGGACCAATGACATCATGGGTAATGTCTTGACTTGTGCATGAATTGTATGTAAGTGAAGCAGAGTTGCACAGCCTCACTTTCTCTTCCTAAGCCACTGAAGTCCAGAGGCAAGACAAAAGTCAAGACGCTTGGCAACAGACTGGGATGCAGTAGATGATCTTGGTGTCTTCAATGTCTGACTAAGCTCTAAGCACACCACAGCGCCTGTTTCAGCCACCTTCATGGCCACTAAGACAAATTGTTCTCATCCTCCCATTCTGCCAGGGGAAATCTTCATGTGGTTGGGGTAGATATCCCTCTAATTCACTGATGGGTTTGAGGATCCTCAGTTACTTCTACTTGGTTTAGCCCATCTGCTGAGACAGTTTTTACTGGGGTGTGGCCACTGCACATGCTACAGCTTCTTGGAACCACAGGTGAGAGTTGGGTGACAGGTAGACACCAAAGGTGGGTAAGCAGCCCTGAAAAGGGCTTGGCAGCCCTCATACCAGGGGTGCTAGTCCTCCTTAACACCCCATACACCCTAGTGATACAAATACAAACAATGAAACAATCCTTACACACAGAGAGTTTGGATTCTTTGCAAGAATCTAAGGCAAAGAGGCTGGGCTGCTGTTCTCAGCATACAGGACATGCTCATCCCTATTCTGAAGCCTGTGATCCTGCTTTTCTTCCTATTGGGTAATGCATCCTTCCTTCTTTCCACCCATCCATAGTCCAGACATTCTTTAAAGGCTGGCCAAGTGCATGTTATACCTCTCTGGGTTCACAGTAACTAGCACACAAGTAGACCCTCAATGTTTGATGATGATGATAATGATGATGACACCAGGAAGGCTAAAAAAAACCCAGGAGCTCCCTTTAGACTTCTATAAGCTCCACTGACAAACAGCTTACAACTGTGGAAATCACATCCCTAGTATTATGGCAGAAAAGAAATTCTATCCCAGTGAAGTGCAATGGTGATCAAATATGTCCCAAGATTCCTAGATTTTTTTCTTCGGCATGTAAGGAACATGGCCTAAAGGGTCCGTCCTAACACGCACTTAGTTCCACCAGTAAGCCCACAAACCTTCAGTTAGCTGATCCTCCCCTGACATTAGACACAGGGGAGAAATCTGTGGTTTCTCTTCTTTGAGAAACTGGTACTGGTCCCAAGACACAGTCTACCTGTACAAGAGCCTTACACATTCACAATAATACATCACAAATCCTACTTGGAAAGCCTCTAAAAGGAATGGTCACAAATTCTTTCATAAAGCAACCTCAACTTCTACAAGCAGCACCTTCAGAGACTCTTGGAATGACTCACCTCTGCACAAATCCTTCCAGGAGGCTATGGAGAACATGGCTTCGGTATCGCATGAGGCGAACATCCTGAGGGGTGCTGTCAATACACTGCCCATTGAGAATGGGGCGCTCAAACATGTTGCTGAACTCCTGCCGAGTGCCTAGGAAATCAGGGCGTACAAAGTCCACCATACACCAGTACTCAATGAGATTGTTCTGGAGGGGGTACCCAGTCAACACCACCCGACGGCGAGACCGAATATTTTTTAGGGCCTGGGATGTACTGGCATGGCAATTCTTGATTCGGTGCCCCTCATCACAAATCACCACATCAGGGCCAGGGCGGGAAAGGGCTTTCTCAATGCCTAGAGTGAGAAAAGAAAACCAAAAATCAAAGGTTATTCCTTTTTTCAGCAATCTGGAGGAAAGTTACTTTGTAAGAAAAATGAAAAACTAGAAAACAATATAGCCACCCTGCACTAATTACAGAAGACAGACAACACAAAGCCTTTCCACTCTGCTCTCCCTCCAGCTTTTCAGCTTCTTTGATGAGCTGTATTCTCCCATTAGAATGTAAGGGGTGCTCTTTCTTTCTGTTTCTATTTGTATTCCCTGAGTTTAGCACAGTGTCTGGCACAAAGTAAATGCTTAATAAATCCTTGCTAACTTCTCGTTGTTGACCTCTATGTTTGGTTTTGTGGAATGTTTCAGCTACAGTATTTTCACAGCCAATATATTTTCTTAACAAATTTTTATAGGCTATAATAGTAAAATCCATTTGTCTTCTTGAAACCCATAGTGAATAGATGGCAGAGAGGGATTCATAGAATGCTAGGAATAATCTCAAGATTAAAAATGGGCTCTGATCAAACCCCACATGGACAACGAATGCAGAGAATGGTGCAGCACAGCTTGTCCCTCCAGGTTCTTGGTTCTAGGACAATCTAGAACAAATTGGTAGAAGCCAGAAAATCACTGGCTGTTTAGCAGCCCTTGCTGAGACCATCTTAGTTCTACTAGAGAGGACTTGCAACTCTGTCACTGAGCTCAAAAGTCTTAGTAAATAAATAGATTCAAGAAATTGAGATAGCTTCATGGGTCAGAAAGAAGGCCCTTCTGACCACAGCAAAGCCTCCAAGAGAAGGAAGAACTAACAAACACAAGTAAGTTAGCTTTGTATATAAGACAAACTATAAAATACTCAATTTCATTTCTAAATAAATGCATCAGGAAGTTGTCAGCACCACTTCAACTTCTACTGATGATCTTTTGTGTGCTTTGTGTGTTTTTATCTCAGTGATTTTTCATCATTCCCTTCACTCAGCAGGTCTAGGAAGTCACCACAGTAAAAGGATCTCCCTTCAAACCATGCAGCTACCCGGTCAGTAATTCCCAACTAGGCCTCTTTCCACCAGGCTGCACAGCACCACAGCTCCGGGGAAGAGCACTGTCACCTATCACCAACCTTTCATGAGCTCTTGTTGTCGGTCCTCCTCATCCAGGTCGATGATTACCGGACAAGCAGGTTTCTTGGTTTTCTTCTTCCTACCTGTAGCAAAGGATTTCTTCAGGGAGAGGAGTCGGTACATTTCATACCCCATCAGCAGCACCCCGCCCTCTGACACCCAATCAGTCACCACCTTAGCACGAGCAGCCGTCGTCCTACAAAAATGAACAGACAGAAATGACTACTGCTTTTTCAGATTCCCCAGCAGCATTCACCAAAACAGACACCTACAGAATAACACTTATTTTACATCTGTGACTCTAGGATGGCAATGGCTTCAAATATTAGCTAATACTGTAAATATACATGGCCAACTGCTCAAAAACTTGTCTCTCTCCCTCCCATCATTCTTCAAGATAATGCTGTCACTGAAGCTAGGCCAGGTCATTTAAAAACGTTAACCAATAGGCCCAAGCACACACACTATACACCAAGAAGATCAGCCATGGAAAATCCCGGGCTGCAGTGTAAGATTCCCTAGACAGTACCTAAAAATTAAATGTTATCCATGTCAAAAATATAGTACATCAGGTGGAGAGGTAGGAAGGAGCATCCAGCAAAGGTCAGTGAGTGAGCAGTAAGGCAATTCCAAAGATATACAATCCTGTAACGTAACAAGAACTGGACATTAATAACAAAACCAAATCACTGTTCCCACTATACAGAAAGCTTGCTATGAAAGACAGACTTTGGCTAAGAGATACTGATCCATCCAGGACTTCTAAAAGGCTAAGACTTACCCACTGCAAGTTTTAACAGTTATTCCTGCAGGGTAGAGGAGATTCCTTGGTACTACTAGTGAAAAGAGGTGTCCTAACATCTTTTCCCTTCCCACCTAAGTTAAGAGCACTGATTCCCTTCTCCTCGCCCCATCTCACCTTTAAAACACCAACTGCATATTCTTGGAAGCTACACTTTTAGATAAGACTAAGATTTAAACCAATTCCAGCAGAAATGAAACTGTTCTCAAAGAAGAGCTGCATCTACTGAATATGTGAGAAGGAATTTATTTTAACCAATGCAGGGGAAGGATGACAAAGGTAAATGACATGCAGAACATGACAATTTGATTTTGGTCATTACATTCAGCCTTTTCCTAGGAGGAAAGATGAAATTCATAAAATTTCATCTTTTTTACCCCCATTTTAATTGATCATCTTCTAAGGAAGGAAAAGTGACAAAGAGACAAGAAGAGAAGAAGAGAAGGAGAGAAGAAGCAGACCCCTTAAAGATCATTTCATTCAACCCCCTCATTTTACAATGAAGAAACTGCAGCTCAGAAAGCATAAATCATTTGCCCATGGCCATACAAGGTCCTGAGCAAGAGCTAGCTTGAGTACAAATCCTGACTCCAAACACAGTTCTCTGTCCACTGCACCACTCTGTCATGCTGCCTTCCACATCTGTGTTGACTACATCTCATTGCATGCTATTACATGGTATCTCACAAAGCAAAACTGAGGTAAAACAGTTTAGAATCTTAGCGGCAGGTCAGCAGAGGCCTGAAGGTAGCCGTGTGGGGAATCTCTACCACACTCTGATTCCCTAAATCATCATCATCAACAGAAGAATGGATGTTTGGAAAGGCAGTTTGGCCCCACCTAAAGAGAATAAGAGTCATTTTCACTCTAATTTAGGGAATCTAACAGAAAACAAAGTTTTCTGGTTTAGTGAGCAAGAAGAATTTTATAGACTTAGATTAATAGTGAATCAGAGGCAAACAGCAAAACTGACAAGTTGAATTTCGAACCCCACCAAAAAAAATACAGGGGGAGGGGAATAAACATTTATTAAGTGCCTACTATATGCCAAGCACTGTGCTAAGCACTTTACAAATATTATCTCATCTGATCTCTACAGTCAAGATGTTCAGAAAAGAGTTCCATATTTATCATGTCAGATCTTATTACTATAGCAGTACATGGGAAAATTATGAGCATGCTCATTTTCTGTTTATAGTATTCCCTCAGAAACCCAAGCCACCACAAAACTAAGAATCAATCAATAAGCATTTATTAAGTACCCACTCTGGACCAAGCATTCTGCTAAGCAGATGCAAAGAGCGAAATTAGCGTTCCTGCCCTCAAAGAGATTACATTCTATAGGAAGAGAGGCACATATAAGTACATATAAAATGTAAATATGAGACCATTTTTATGCAAGGCACTAGCCATTGAGGTAATCAAGAAAAGCCTCAAATAAGAGGTGGTTATCTGAGTTGAGATATGAAGGAAATCAGGGATTCTAAGAGGTGAAGGTGAAGGGAGAGGGCATTCCAGGTATGAGGGTCAACCTGGACAAAGGTGCAGAGCCTCAAGACAGAACACTGCATGTAAGGAACACAAGAAAGCCCATTTGCTGCTGCTGTGCCAAAGTGTAAAGGGGAGGGTGTATAATAGGGCTGAAAATGCATGTTAGAGTCAGGCAGGGAAGGGCTTTAAATGCCAACAGAGGAATCTAAATTAATGGGAAGACATTTAAATTTTACTGAGCAGGGAGAGACAATACCTGTGCTGGAGGAATATCACTTTGTAAGCTGTGCAGAGACCAGATTGGAGAAGGAAGATGACCAAATGAAAAGCATGTGAAGCACCATTGTCAAATGAGGAACCAGCAATGAGAACGTACAGTTACATAACAAACAGTGCAAAGTAGATTAAAAAAAATAAATAAAACTGATGCAGAAGGTAAAGACTATATGCCAGCTTTATAGCTTAGAAGACTTTACCAAGAAACCAGCGACAGAGCAGAATTCATTTTAAGAAAAGGATAACTAATACACAGAAGAAACAAAAGGAAATTAGGGAGGATGGAACGTGTACAAACAAAACACTGTTGAGCATCAGAATTCCAATAGAAGTCTGAGGCTTTCGTGGTGCCTGAAAGAAAAAATGCCGGTTGAACTGAATTTAAAATAAAAGTATGTTGAGCAAACAAATGAAAGGAAGGGAAAACAAGAGGTAAAAAAAAATTAAGAGACCTACTTGTGCTCATCATTCAAAATGTGGACTTTAAAGTAGCGTGGCTGAATCTCTTCAGGTTTGTGGTCAGCAGGTAGAGCTTCAGGGGCAGGCAGCCACATGTTGAACTCTGCCAGCCAGTTCTGAAGAGTGTTCACCTGTCAAAAGTAAAACAAAACAAAACAAAAAACAAACACACAAACAAGAAAAAAAACAGAAGGGGGTGAGAGGAAGAGAACATTTAAGGAATAAACCCAGAAATCATGTTATTTGCTACAAGTACTAACATAGACACTAAAGAGCAGAAAGTGTGTGGCCTATATGAAGATGACCTTATTATATTTGCTATGTTCTGTACTTATTAATAGCCCTTATGATATGCATCTATTAAACGAAAGTGTTTGAAGAATCAGTCCTTCTTCCAAAGAGGCCTGAGCCCTTTGCTGAAACAATGCAAGTGGAATACTTATGATGCTAAGGAACTTAGACATCCTAACTGCTAAAGCTATGGACAACACTCAGCTACTTTCAACCTGCTTAGCAACAGTTCTACAATGAACAGATGTTAAAATTTTTTTTAATTATACTACAGAAATCAACACATTCAGGTGCAATACAAGCAATGAAAATACCTGTTTATTCAAAGGAGAAAGCTCTGTTAAGTGTTGGGGAAAGGCAGCAGATTAGAAGGAACTCATTTTGATGCTGGGTTATACAGTGAATGCCAAACATGGTAGAGCCGGCCTAGATCTAACTGGCTCCTTACCGGTACAATTGCGAGGACAGTCTTGGCTTCTGTGTGTCGGAAGAGGACATCTAAGAAGGAGATCACCTGTAGAGTTTTTCCCAAACCCATGCTGTGAGCCAGAATACAGCCAAATCCACTGCTGGTTTTAAATCTCTCCAGGGACTCCACCAAATTGTCATACAGGAATCGGATTCCACCAATCTAACAGGATAGAAAGAAATCATAAGAACATGAAATGACAAACAACACAAGTGATAAACAGTGGAGTCTGCAGTTCTCTTTTTTCTAGAACAATAGTAAAGACAATGCTAAGTTAGTAAGTATTAGAATAGATCTCTGGTGTCTGTAATCAGCTTCTCACATCACCTTTAAGCAGACTACTGTTGAGAAGCAAAACCAGAGAGACCAAAGCTCAAGTCCTGAGCCAGACATTTACTAGCTGTGTGATGCTGGCCACGCACGTCACTGACCTCTGTAAAATGGGGATAACAGCTCTGTTAAGCACCACAGGGTTGTTGTGAGGATCCAAGGTAGGTACAATAAAGTGTAACTTGCTGTCATTACTAATAACCAAAACAATAGTTTACAGGGGAGGTCTCTTTGAGAAAAACACCAAAAAGTCATCCTTAGTGAGTATATATGTGAGAGAGCAACATTTGTTATTACATCGTACCCAAAGGTAGGATAGGATTGAAAGAGAACTTAATGTGGAGTCAGATGATCCGGTTGGACCCCCGCTCTGCTGTGTACTAACTAGCCTTTGTGATTCTGCACTAGTCATTTGACACCTCTGGGCCTCAGTTTCCTTATTTGTAAAATAAGGAGGTTGAACTAAATGAACTTCAATGCCTCTTCCTGCTCCATATAGCATAATCTTGGAAGGATTGGAAGGATAATGTCGGAAGGAACCTTCAAGGTCACTAATTTCAACCTCCCACCCAATGGAGAAACCCTTTCTAAAGAATTCCTGGCATGATCAATTCAGTTGCCAGTCTCAATTATCAGTACACCCAGTAACATAATACTTCACTAATCCCCTTGGTAACCTATTTCATTGTCAGGCAGTTCCAGTTAGAAATTTCTTTTCATCTGTTTAACCAAAACCTGCCTTCCTGTAACTTCTACCTTCTGATTCTAGTGGAGAAATATAGAAAAAGTCTATTCTTTCCTATACAGGTGTTTTTAAAAGACCTATTCATGTCACTTTAAGGAACCATCAATACAAAACAAATTTCCTAACTGCTTTTCTCAGGGAAGAACCTAAATTCAAGCTTTCAGACCTTGCAGGAATCTCACTCAAATCTGTTTAGCAACAAGACTAGGAAACAACTAGGCTATGATCAAAATACAGTCCCATTACATCCTGTCCCACCCCTCTTTCCCCCCAGTTGTTCCTGATGGTTCTCATCTTAGGAATCTTAGATGAAATTTTGGAAGACCAGCAGATAAGGGACTAAAAACCAGATTTGCTATACAACTCCTAAGTGCTTGGGAAATCTCCACTTATTAAGACAATAATATAAGTGATGAGCAATGTCAACACCAATGAGGAGTCCTTGAAAAGAAAGGAGAAGAGGGTCTCAAGACTTCCAATACCTGATGAGGTTTCACTGCACGTGCCAACTGTGGGGCTAGGAAGATATTTTCCTCATTAGGTGGGTGGTTGATGTTGACAATGACCTGCCCCATAGCATCTGACTGATTTAAGGCATCATTCACGTGGGAGCCACTGCTCTCCTCGGTGGCATCACCGTCCCCTTCATTAGCAGAATCACTACTGTCCACAATCTGAAGGGTCTCATCCTCTCCGGAACTCAGTTCGATCACTTCTAAGATACCAGGAAAGATTAAAGGGGATTTCAGTGATCATCTTCAAAACACCATAGGGCAGAAACTTTACTGTTTGCTGTCATTCTTGAAAAACAACAAGCTTTAGCTTTTCCCTTCTCTTGCTTCAGGCCAAGGTAATGATGTAACTCACATGTAAATCAGAGGACATAAGGGAAATATGTATAATTGGCCCCAAAACTGTAGGAGGGAGGAATGGGAACTTTATCGAGTTAGACATGTTGCTAAGGATGCACAGTAAGTCAAGACTGCGAGGAACAAAGAACTTCTTACCATCTTTAATGCCATGTAGTATTCCCTTTGTCTCCTCCTCACTGCCGCTGCTGGTGCTATCCAAACAAATCACTTCTTGGGCTAAGACCTGAGGGGGGAGCTGGGAAGCATCACCTGCTCGTAAAACAATTTCCTCTATGGAGAAGACAGAGCAATAGTTGGTGAGGAAAGTCAAAGACACAGTCATTTAAAATATATTTCCCTGAGACACAATGCCCTTGCTTTTGCCTTTCTATTAATTCCATTTCTATCATGTTAGTAAGTTTTCATCACCCAATGCCATATCTTGATCACATCTTATCATTCTATTTTAAATCTCTATCTTGGAAGAGGTTCTTCATTGCTGATAATATTCAATTTCCCAGCAGAAGTTGTAGTAATCTTCTCATGGAAGAAAGGTCTTGAAGCCCAAAACTATAGAGGGAAAGTTGAGGAAAATCTCAATTTGGAAGATATATTTCAAATTGTGTTCCTGGCAATTTTAAAGGTTTTGTTCAGCAGTTTCAGTTGTGTCCTTCTCTTTGTGATCCCATTTGGGGTTTTCTTGGCAAAGATACTGGAATGGTTTGCTATTTTCTTCGCCAGCTCATTTCATAGATGAGGAAGCTGAGGCAAACTGTGTTAAGTGACTTTCCCAGGGTCACACAGCTAGCAAATATCTGTGCTTGGATTTGAATTCAAATATTCCAGACTCTAGGCCTACAGCCCTATCCACTTTGCCACCGAGCTGCCATTTTAAAGGCTGCAAATCCAAATAATTGTTTAAAAATGCTGATTAATCATAAAGTGCTTTGAAGTCTCCATTACATCTCAATCCTATTCTCTAGACTACTGTTAACTACATAATCCCTCTCCTCTGACTTCTTTGACCTCTTCCTGGTCTTCTCCTCACACAGCTTCTGCCCAGGTAATCTACCTCCCCTCTCCCTTCTTTCAATCCACTTTTATGGTTGTCATCTTCCCCCAATAGAATGTAAATTCCTTGACAGCAGGAACTGACTTGCTTACTTGTATTTGTATCCCTAATACTTAGAAAGCACAGTATCTGGCACACACAGTAGGCATTTGATAAATGGTCTGTCTGTCTATCTTTACTCCTATCCTATATCCCACTAAGGACATAAACTTATCTCAGATCTCTACCACTATAAAAATAAAAGGCTCTTTAAAAAAAAGATTGAATGTTTTAGATCATGAATTTAGATCAAGGGGTCTTAACCTGGTGCATAAAATTGATTTTAAAGAGTATTTTCATAAAGGTATTTCATTATAGTTGGTTTCCTACATAATGCTACATTTTTTATTTGAAGCATTTAAAATCAATATTCTGGGAAGGGTCCATAGGTTTCACTAGCCTGTCAAAGAGTCCACAACACAACAAAGGTTAAGAACTCCTGGTTTGGACGTAGTCAGAATCCTGCCATCCCTTTCTACCTGGGAGGTACTCCAGTGGCACAGTGGGGATCGGGGCAGGATAGTCCTTCCTCTGCTGTTCCAGCCGTTTTCTTCTTTCCAGCTCTTCCTGTTGAGCTGCTTTGGTGACTGCCTCCAATTGATCTTCCCGTAGCAGCTTTCTACACATTCAGATAAATAAAAGAAATCACTTTAGTTATACTCATGAATTCAGCTAAAACAACTTTATGGCAAAACCCAAAGTAGGAAATGGTTACTGAAAAGTAAGGAAAAGAAGAGATTATCATATTTATTGTGTAGTTTCAAGAAAATATGTATTTTCCCCACTTGCCCTATCATTAGTAGGCCAAGGAGTGGAATTTGGTAATATCAGGGAAATCCTCGGCTCACTATACTTTTCACATTATTTCAGTCACAAGGGAAGTCTGTACCTTGACAAGCCTCAGCAGACAAGAAAGATGACATACTTGATATGGTCAAGACTATTATTTTGACCACAGAAGTGGTCTAATAGAATGAAGAACCTCTCAGAGTTCCAGAATTATTTTTTGGTGTTAAGTGGGGGGGGGGGGGAGAAGAGGTCTCCATCCATTATTAAAGCCCTAAACACGGAGCAGAGGTGAGTAACCCTAGGTTCTAAAAGGCCATGCCAGCACAGTCTAAATTCTTGCAGACCTTGCTAGCATTGTAAAGGCTTTAGGAACAGGGCTAATAATGATCTGCATGCTTATTATCCAAGGACCTGCCTAGCTAAGTCTGGAAAAGCTCACCAAAAGGATGCAGAGTGATAAATTTTTTAGCCATAGAAACCTTCAGAAACCAAATTTTATAGAAGGCTTATTATCTGAGTTGGGGAAAAGAATACCCCCATCAACAAAATTATATTCTTGAATTACTGACATATCTAGGCTACATGTTCGCATGTCATGTGGTATCAAGATAGAAAGTTAATTTCCTTGCCTACCTTACCTTCTTGCCTCTTTAAAAAGAGAAGACAAGACATATGAGCAGAGATTCAGATCTAGGACATTTCCCACCAATTCTACTTTGGCTCATCTAGGCTTCTGATAATAGGGATATGCCCACATTCTTGAGCTATGATTAAGATAAATTCTCATCACAGCAGAATCTTCTGGCAATCAAGACCAAGAACTGAACACATCTTGGGAATCACTTGAACCACCAATTAAAATCCAGAATGAAAATACTATCTATAAGTTTCTCTTTCAGCAGTTTGGGAGATGCTTTCCCTGATAATAAGCCCAATATTAATATTACTAGCAACATCAGTCATAGAAATGAATTTACTACTTGTGCTGGGATAGGGAGGGTTGGGTGAAGCAAAACCAGATCACTTTTATTACATAACTCTCCCTAGCATCTTATCTTAGATAACTCACCTTATGTTCCTCCTCATATGGGAAGGTTTCTGAGCCCTCTTTTTTTTGGTGTCCTCAGAGGTCAGGTTCTTGCGCTGGTTCTGACCAAGACGCTCTGCCCTTTTGCTCTGAGATGAGGTAGTTGAAGTAGAGTGCTGCCATTCCCCATCTTCCTCAGACTGGGTATGTTCAGTGCCATACATGCCTTCTCTGGACTGATCTAAAAACAAAGATTAAACAGAGCAGATGTTGTGGATCAGTTTCTATTTGACTGTTTCAAAGTCCCTTATGCTATCCTTGCTCAGGAAGGTAGGGGAAATTACAGTACTAGCCTGGAAGTCTCTGTATAACACCAATCCCACTAAGATGCTAAAAATGATAGCTAAAGAGATCCTGAGAGCATCATTATCTACAGAGATAAGCACCATCCAAATAAATAGTTTTGCTCCAAACTGTGACACTGGAATTTTTTGATTGGCAGAATAAGATATGAATTGGAATACCATAATATGGAAAAATGTAGCCAAATTAACACAACCATACCCATACTCTTACACTTCAACCTCAAATGACACTTAAGTCACACATATACTTAAGTGCTTTGCAAAGAGGAGGCATTCAAAAACCATCTCCATGCCATGTAGTCATACCCCAAGTTGGTATTCCAATTCCCATCTTTGGGCCCTACATTCCGGAATGGTCAGAATTCTCTATAACTAGCCAATACAGACCCATCACACTAGTGCTCTCCTGTCACCTTCATGCCATGCCGCCCCCCTTCCCCAGCCCCTTCCACCATTAGCTATGGGAACAGGGATCAAATCAATAACACTATTCCTGGAAAGGCTAAATCAACTGCCACAGGACTCCATTTCACCATCCTTGTGACTTCCCAGTCCAAAACATCTTTTCCTGGACATCACTCCCCTAAACACACATGTAAATCTCTTCCCCTATTTGAATATAAAATCCTTAAGGCTGTCTTTGTTTTTCTATCTCCAGTGTTTACTCTAGTGCCTGGCACACAGAAGCACTTAATAAATGCTTTTTCATTCATTCACTGTTGATCCAATACTCGATCATATACCTAATAACAACTTACATTTATAGAATGTTTTAAGTTTTGCTATTATCTTTGATCCTCACAATACCCCTGTCAGTACTCCAAATACGATTATTCCTATTTACTTTTAAAATTCAATTTTAGGTTGGAGAAGATGTGGGAAAATTGGAAAACTAGTACATTGTCGGTGGAGTTGTGAAATGATCCAACCATTTTGGAGAACAATTTGGAACTATGCCCAAAGGGCTATAAAAATGTGCATACCCTTTGACCCAGCGAGATCACAAAAATGAGAAAAGGACCCACATGTAAAAACATATTTATAGCAGCTCTTTTTGTGGTGGCAAAGAACTGGAAATTGAGAGGATGCCCATCAATTGGGGAATGGCTAAATAAGTTGTGGTATATGAATGTAATGGAATACTATTGTGCTATAAGAAATGATGAACAGGCTGACTTCAGAAAAATCTGGAAAGACTTGTATGGTCTGATGCTGAGTGAAATGAGCAGAACCAGGAGAACGTTATACACAGTAACAGCTATGTTGTGGGATGACTAATATTGATAGACTTAACCCTTCCCAGCAATACAAGGGATCTAAGACATCGCCAAAGGCCTCATGATGGAAAATGCTATCCACATCCAAAGAAAGAACTATGGAGGTTGAATGCAGATCGAAGCATACTATTTGCTATTTTCTTCTCTTCTGTTGAGTTTTGTTTCCTGTTTCTAGTGGTTCCTTCTATGGGTTCTAATTCTTCCTTACAACATGACTAATGTGAAAATATGTTTAACAGGAATGTATATATATAGCCTATATCAGACTGCATGCCATCTTGGGGAGAGAGGCGTTTATCAGTCCAACAAAGTTGTATTTGCCTTCCAGGAGAGGATAAGAGTAGGGATGAGTTACTGTTCCATATTCAAATTATTTGTCAAGGCACTCTTATGTATTTTAAACATTTCCTTTGGAAATACATAGCTGTCCTATTCCTGATATCTATAGGTACCTTTTCTAGAGGGAATCTTGCTAACCCTTTTTAGGGGAGACCTTAAATACAAAAAACAAAAACAAAAAAACCAAAAGTTTGTTTGACAGCTGGCTACCTGTCCTAGAAAGATGCCTTCCCCAGGCCCACTGCCCCTATTGAGTGCCTCAGTCACAGTCTACCCTAGACCTTTGGCCTGATCCCATCAGAGAGTGCACATAACCCTCAATGCTTCCCTGGAGCAGACGCTGCCTTCTTCTGCCTGGTCTTTTACCCATCCCTCTAGTGCCTTTCCCGGGACTCCTAGGCAAAAATGCTCATCCGAAGCTGGGGTCCCAGGCCTTGAGCCTGTACTTCCTTGTGGACCTGGTACCCAGAGGAAGCAGTCTTAGGCCTGAGTTATCCTAAAGAGACATCTTAGGTGGTATGCTTAATTTGTGCCATGTCTTTGGTTTGATATTTGGTGAGATATGAATCTTGCTTTGGGACCTTGTGGCCCTTCTCTTCTCTGGGCCTCAGTTTCAAGACTTCGAGGCAGGATGGTGTAATAGATAGGAAACTGTGCTAGGAAAACCTTGCTTCAAATCCTACCTCAGACACTTAATAGCTATGTGACTCTGGGCAAGCCATCTAACCTTTGTGCCTCAGTTTTCTCTTCTATAAAAAGAAGAGGTCAGACTGGATCTTTTTTTTTTAAGGCAATTGGGGTTAAGTGATTTGCCCAGGGTCACACAGCTAAGAAGTGTCAAGTGTTTGGTCTGAGGCCACATTTTAACTCAGGTCCTCCTGACCTCAGGGCCAGTGCTCTATCCACTGCCACCCACCTCGCTGCCCGGGGGCTGGATATTTTCTAAATCCCCTTCTAGCTCTAAATCAATGGTCCTTTCTTTTAGGCATCAAGCCATCCTAACACTGAACCTGTCTTGTATGAGTACAGAGCCAGAATATGTCCCATGGAAAGGGGCTCAAGAGCCCATATATCTACTTTCATTTCTTAAAAAAGGTCTCCCATTCTTTGCATGGCCTCAAAATATCCAGAATTTTCACATCTCTAATCCTTCCCCCTACTCCAAATCTTCTCTGAAGGAATCTGAGATCAAACATTTAGATCTTAACAGGAATTTCAACCATTGGGTTACCTCTCCCAGGGGTATTTGCATTTCTAAGTCTAATTATTCCTTTGGGAATGAAAAGCTGCATTCCATTTACAAGGCTTTGGAAGGCTTGGGATGTTGGCCCTTGCTTTCTCACTCACCATCAAAGAAGTGTTCTGTCACCCTTCAGGATCCTTTCTTGGGTACTCTTGAGATACCAGAGGGGTCAGAGCACCTTAAAGATGATGGAAGGATTGGACAATAAAGACTATAAATAGAGCTATCTTCAGAGTAGAAGCAAATAGTGGAATCTCTTGGGCCTTTCAACACTGTTTCAGGGACCAGAACTTCACGGTAAGTTAGGGAGGAGGCAAAAGGTGGGTGAATGAAGCAATGTCATTATCAATAAGCTAAAACACATTCATATACATACAATGGGCATGAATTCTCCTCCTTCTATCTTCACCAAGGCAACAGAGGTAGAACTCTAGCATCCTAGCAACAACACCACCCTTCCTAGTGTTTCTTGCCTTTTGTGGCTTCTCCTTTCCCCATAGTTACTTCTTTGGCAATTGAATAATCTTAGAATATGAGTTGGAAGAGTCCTTAGAGACCCTCTAGGTCCAGCCCCCTTCCTCAAGTCTCAACTCAGGTGCCACATCCTCCATGAAGCTTTGCCCAATCTGCTAGCTTGAAAGTGATCTTTCTTATCTCCGATTTTTCAAAGTATTTTGTATATATATTTCTTTTGCACCTACCTCAGTCTCTTTTGTCACATCACTTGCAGGGGTGGAGGGGGGAGTATGACCAGGGGTAACTTGGTCAACTTAATAAAGTTAAGGCATGAAGACTTTGATTAGACTTTGAAGGTATCTCCCCACCAGAAGTGTATGGATATTCTTGTCTTATTTGGGATTTTGAGTCTGGTTGAGGAGATAGGAATGAGTACACAGGACCCAGGTACTTGGTTGGCCTTCCGGTAAGTGCATCATTAGGGATGATTGTTTAAGTCTTAGCTAGTATCTGCATCCTTGGACCTAAGCTTTGAAAGACACCAGAGGACCAGAGCTGACAGATAAAAGGACCTGAGCTTGTCTGAGCTGAGCACAGATCTTTGTGAAATCTGAGTTGAGAGAGGAGCAATACCTCCAGTGGACTTGAGTTCTAGGAAGGTGTGTGGATTGGGGAGTCTCCACCTCTGCATACCACCCCCAGGGAAAACTTCGATCCCAGATGTGGGAACTAAGGAGAATCAGTGACAGCAGTGAAGCAGTTCCTCAAGGAGACCAGATGACTGAGAAGGCAGCATGTAAGGGACAATGGGAGAAAGGCAAGAAATACTCAGCTCAAACACTTGAGAGTTTCTTGTCTAATCACTTGGGATAGTGTATGAACAAAGCCAGGAATCCTCTAGAATAACGCGGCCAGCTGTCCAGCTGCAGTCTAAGCAAAGTTCACGCATGGCCAATCTCTCCACTGCTCCAGTCTAAGGTCACTGTGGAGCCTGGACTTCAACAGCTCCCAGCCCCACCCCATGAGGTGTCCTTAGGCAAAAGCAGCAGCTGTATTGCCTAGGTAACATTGCTTTTAGGGGCTTCCCATTTCCTCACATTGGGTTCATTTAAAAAAGAAAAGAAAAGAAATGAAAATTCATGAATCCATAGTACAAAATCCATAGTACAAACTTATATAGTTAAGCATATGCACTAGGGAAAATTATTTAAGGTAATAAATGCACTCTCATTTTATCTGGACCCCACCTCAGTTTAGCCAAAGAAAACAGTCAAAACAATCAAAACGTCTTCTCTTTGAGTTTTGATTAACCAACTCTCAATCTTGCTCTACACAGTTACAGACCAATATGCTTATGGTAGACCATATAGCTTCTTTAATAACAGGTAAATTCACATAGAAATGAAATTTAGCTGGATTTCTTTTTTCCTTTTAGTTAATTTTGGATGGGGAGAGTGAGGGAAAAGGAGATAGCAATAATGATACCCCTCCTCCCAAAGAGGGCTACTGTAGTAACACTTCTGAAAATTCACAGGAAACATAAGACATTACAGAAAGAAGC